GGGGGGGGAGGGGGGAGGCTGACGGGCGGCGGGCGGCGAGAGGGGCATGGAGCAGTAGGTGGCTTGGGCGAATGGTTGGAGGAGGATGATGATTATTGGGTGGGGAAAGTAGTTGCTGCTGCGATTACGATTACTGATGGATGCGAGGGAACGACTCGGCGGCATAGTTGGAGGTGACCTTGATGAACTCGGCCTTGCGCTGGAGCTCCTCGATGGTGCGGGCGCCACCGTAGGTCATGCCGGAGCGGAGGCCGCCAAGGAGGTTGTCGAGCAGATCCTGGGCCGAGCCCGAGACACGGGTGGTAAAGTCGACGCCCTCGGGGACAGTGCCCTTCTTGACGCCACCAAAGTAGTCGGACTGGAAGTGCTCCGAGGCCTGGCCGCGATAAAGGGCGAAAACGTCGTACTTAAACGGCATGTCCTCAGGCGGGTCTTGCCGAGCTCAAAGGCGTAGGTCCGGCCCTGGTGCTCGATGTTAGTGACCGTTCCGACCTTGACCGGATGAACGACGTCAAAGTCCGAGTCGGTGTTGAGGCGGATGTACTTTGGCGCGGCCGATTCAAAGGTCTTGGCAAAGAGGTTGCCCATCATGCAGGACGTTGCGCCTGCAGCGAGGGCAAGGACAACGTCACGTGAGTTGCGGATGCCGCCGTCGGCAATGAACGGAACTCGCATTTCGCGAGCGACCTTGGCGATCTGGTGGATAGCAGTGAACTGCGGGACGCCAAAGCCGGTGACAATGCGGGTGGAGCAGGCGGCACCACAGCCGACGCCGACGCGGATGACGTGAGCACCAGCCTCGACGAGGTCCTGGTAGCCAAGCGGCGTGCAGACCGAGCCGGCGATGATTTGCTTGTCCGGGTATTCGTCGCGGATGTGCTTGATAAAGTCGATCATGGTCGAGGTGTGGCCGTGGGCGACGTCGATGCAGACGCCGACCGCGCCCGCGTCAAAGCATGGGCCCAGGTTGTCGACGTCGTTAAAGCCGGCCGAGATAAAGACGTTGCCGGCAAACTGGCGCGACCACGCGACTTGCGTCTCCAGATCGGTGAACCGGTGCATGATGGGCATGCCGCCGTTGGCGATGAGGACCTCGGCGAGCTCGGGGCCCATAACGGTGTCCATGTTCGAGGCGACGAGCGGCATCCCGATGGTGGTGTTGCGAGTGAACCAGGTCTCGAGCGACGGCTCGGTCCGCGAGGTCAGGCTCGAGTACTTGGGCACCAGCGCCACGTCGTCAAAGGTGTATCCCTCGAGCAGCGTCTGGCCCGAGTCGACAGGCATCTTCCGGGCCTCGATCTCCTCGTCGGTCGTCTTCCAATCAGCCCGACCCACACCATACTCAGGCCCCAGCATCGCCGACGATGAGCCGGCGCGCCCACCTGCACGAGACACACCAGCACTAGCAGCATAGCCACCAGCCGCCGCTGTCAGACCGGCACCACTTGCGGCCGAGACGGTGACAGAGCCACCAGCCGCCAGGCCGACACGTAGAGCATTCATTCCAGAGACACGCAGCATGAGCAAGGGGAGGGGAAGGGGAGAGAGGGAGTAGTTGGACGCCTGAGAGAGGGGTGAGGGGAGGGGAGGAAAGGGGGGGGGAGGCAAGTAAGCGAGCACAGGGGCTCTCTGTCGTGCACTGCGATTTGGAGACATTGCCGACGAGTTTTGTGGCCAACGCCAACGCCATGCTGCACGGGGGGGCGAGAGGAAGGTTGCTTCGAAATGACGCGCAGATTGAGGAAGGGAGAGGGGGGGGAGGGAGGGAGGGATCAGGGACTGATCAAGGTAGTGTAGAAAGGATAGTGTTATTCAAGGTCATCGATGTGGTGGTAGATGGGATGTAGACGATGATGGGGAGGGAGGGGTGGCCGGCCTACACTGGATCCTGCTGTCTTGGCAACTGGAGTGCTGACCGGATGCACGACGGACTCGTGGCGATGCCTGCAATCACTTCATTGTCTGCAATGAGATGCCATCACTGGAGAAACTGCCACGCTACACTAGGCTACCTGGTAAAGACCTTCTCATCAGCCATCATACCGCCGCGACGTGATTCTGGGTGCAGACGAGAAAGGCGAACGCGTTGTTACAGGCTACGCTCGTGCGATGGCGCTATTCGATAGCATTCCTTCCCAACACTCTCGGTTGCCTGCCGAGTGGTCACTCTGCTAGCTCGATGGCTTGAGACATTTGCTCGCATTTTAATCCGCTGCCATCTTATTGCCAGCACATTGTGGTGATTGGCACGGTGGCCCCGCGTGTACATGAGCTGCCGCCGACGCTCGCGGCACATGTCGGCTGAGCAACGAGGAGCGATTGGGCATCGAGAGCTTTGTTGGCGTCAACGGTGTTACTTGTGGAGGAGCGGGAACCCTCCCATTCAACCATTCGATGACGATGCGCGATGACGGCGATGGTTGCCTTCGGGGTGCCCAGCTCTTTCCTCGATCTCGGGTGCTTGCGAGCGCGCTGTCAGTGACTGGTAGCCGTGCCGGCAACCGACAACCGGCAGGACTGAACAGCGACATTCGTTCCTTTTTGACAGGTCGCCCACGGCCAGCCGAGGCAGCAGGCAGCAGTAGCGACAACAACAACAACAGCAGCAGCAGCAGCAGCACAAGGGAGTACACCCCACTCAAACTCCTCAGGTGAATACCACATAAGGAGACATGGCAACGAGTGAACTTCTTGAGAACGCAGCTGTGAGCGTGCCTACGTCTGCAGCGTCTGTGTACAAGGACGAGTGCATCTACTGCTTCCACTCGCCGCTGAACGAGAATGGCCTCTTTGTCTCTCTCTCCTCCTTCCACGGCCTGTGCCGGAGGCATGTCGAGGCCTATGCCGCACGGACCAACGAGCAACTGTACTTGCACATTAAGGTACGATTAATGCGTAGAGTTGGACGGTTGATGTGTGGAGGTGGTGCTCCTCAGTTTTGGCTGTACCCGTGGCTCTCTCACATGATGGCACTCACTCGCACCTAATACCCACCACCCCACACACGAAGATGACCGAACGCGCGCCGAAGGACGAGCCGGCTCCGATGGAGGAAGAGAAGGTGGCGCCGACAAAGATGGCCCTTGGGGTCGAGGGTGGGTTCCAGCTGGTGAAGACCGAGTACGACTATGACTACGCCATCGCTGTCCTGCCCGCGCTGGAGATGCTGGCCCTGGACATGGTGCCGGCACGGGTCCGTGAGGCTGCCGACGCAGTCATTGTTGCCGAATCAGCGTCGTTTGTCGACGACGTGGCGGCATGGGAGGGTGAGAACATCAAGGTCTCGGACCACGCCGAGTCGCTGGTCCAGCTCGATAACGGGGTCAAGATCCCGCCCTCGGGCTGGAAGTGCGCCATGTGCGACCTGACGACCAACCTCTGGCTCAACCTCTCCGACGGCACCATCCTCTGCGGGCGCAAGAACTGGGACGGTTCTGGTGGAAACGGGCATGCCCTCGAGTACTACCAGCAGACCGGCTACCCGCTGGCAGTCAAGCTCGGAACTATCACCGCAGAGGGCGGCGACGTGTACTCGTACGCCGAAGATGACTCGGTCAAGGACCCGCTCCTTGCCACTCACATGGCGCACTTTGGCATCAACGTTGCCATGCTCGAGAAGACCGAGAAGACCGTGTCCGAGATGGAGGTCGACCTCAACCGCAACTACGAGTTTTCGCGCATCACCGAGTCTGGCGAGGATCTTGTCTCGCTCTTTGGCCCGGGCTTTACCGGCATGGTCAACATCGGCAACTCGTGCTATTTTAACTCGCTCATGCAGGTCCTCTTTGCTCTTCCCGAGTTCCGCGCCCGCTTTGCGGCGACGCCGGCCGTCGACGCTGTCTTTGTCGCTACACCGCCGCACGAGGTCGTCTCCTCTCTCCACGCCCAGCTCGCCAAGCTCGGCGCCGGCCTCCTCTCCGGCGACTACTCGCAGCCCAAGCCTGCGCCGCTCCCGCCGGGCGCCGACCCGCCCGAGACGCCCAAGTTCGTCCAAGACGGCATCCGCCCACGCATGCTCAAGTACCTCCTTGGTCGTGGCCACGCCGAGTTTTCCACCAAGGCCCAGCAGGACGTCGAAGAGTACTTCCGCCACGTGATCACTGTTCTTGAGCGTGCTGATCACGCCGCGGGCACCTCCGATGCCGACCTGACCCACCTCTTTAAGGTTACCCTCGAGGACCGCTACCAGTGTTCGGCTTCGTCGGCCGTCCGCTACGAGGACCGCGAGGACGTCGTACTCTCCATCAACATCCCCATGGATGCCGCCACCAACGCTGACGCCGTCGCCGAGTATGAAGCCCGCAAGGCCGCCGCCGCCGCCTCTGGCGCCAAGCCTGAGGGCGAGCCGGTCTCGGCCGCCATCCCCTTTGACGCCTGCCTCAGCCACACCTTTGCCCCGTCGTCGCTCGACGGCTTCTACTCGTCGGCCATCGGCGCCCGCACCACCGCCTCTGTCACCACCAAGATCAAGACCTTCCCCAAGTACCTCATGGTCCAGATGCGCAAGTTCTCGGTCTCGGCCGACTGGCGCCCGATCAAGCTTGACGTCTCCATCCCGCTCCCGCTCGACCTCGACCTCGAGGCCGCTGTCGGCCGCGGTACCGGCATCGCCGACGGCGAGACGCCGCTCCCGGAGGAGGCAGCCCCCGAGCCCGAGGCCGACCCGGCCGTCGTTGCCCAGCTTGTCTCCATGGGCTTCTCCGAGAACGCCTGCAAGAAGGCCGTCATCCTCACTGGCAACGCCGGTGCCGAGGCCGCCTCCAACTGGATCTTTGCCCACATGGACGATGCCGACCTCAACGAGCCGTACGTTGCCCCGGGCGCCGCTTCGGCCGCATCCGCCGTTGCCGTCTCCGAGGACGCCATCGCTATGGTCTCCGCCATGGGCTTTGATCGTGACCAGGCCGTCGTCGCCCTCCAGCAGACCGACGGCAACGTCGAGCGTGCCATTGAGTGGATCTTTTCTCACCCCAACGGCCTTGAGGACGCGCCCGCAAGCACCGCCGCCGCCGCTCCGGTCTCCGATGGCCGCGGCATCTACACTCTCCGTGCCATCATCTCCCACGTCGGCTCTTCCACCCGTGCTGGTCACTACGTCTGCCACATCCGCAAGGATGGTGCCTTCTCGTTCTTCAACGACGAGCTTGTCGCCATCTCCAAGAACCCCCCGCTTGACCTCGGCTATGTCTACCTCTACGAGCGGGTCGATGCCGCGAGCGATGCCTAACACATACACACACACAGTCTGTACCGGAACAATTCCTTGCAATGCGCAGGCGACAAGCCACGCCCGAGCCGAACGCACCTTCCATTGGTGGCCAGGAGCAGCTACAGCTGGCACACGCCACACTTCACCACTTCCCGCGATGGCCACCTCCACACCTCGGCCACCTTATCTGCTGCCACACGGACGTGAGACATGGAACCAGTCTGTCCAGGTCCTCCAGTCCATGGCTGACCTCTCGTCGGTCGAAGCTCTGGTCGCTGCCATGGTCGACCTCACCCGTCTCTCGGATCCACTGGAACAGCTGCCAGTGGCGGCCGATGATGCCAGTCCAGACACACCTCTCCGTCTACCGGGCCTTGAGGGTGCTCTACATGCTGCCGATGAGCTTCTGGATGGCTTTGACTTTTTCGGCACTGTCCTCCCGTCCATGATCGCAAGCATCCTCGCCCTCCCAACCCTCATTCCCGATCCGAATCTTCCGGCTCTCTCTCAGGATCAGCCCGAAACTCTCCGGTTGTCACGCGCTGGTGCGCGAGCAGTTCTGGCTGCTGCCTTTCTCGGCATGACCGCAGCTTACGAGCGCATCAATGAGACGTTTATGGCGAAACGACAGCGGATCAGAGTTGCAACTGTTGTCTCGGACGACGACAATGACAACGACGCTGATGATGGTGCTGGAGATGGTGACGATGGCTCCTGGGTTGGTGGCATGTTTGGCTCGCTCTCGTTTGCTGCCGTCATGGCGTCGGGATCGCTGGGAGTGGGCATGCAGCGCGTCCTCTGTATGCTTGCTTACTTTCATCACACGGTCGGCGTCGAGCTCGAGGGCAAGCTGGAGATCTGCCGTCGGGTGCTGAACGAGCTCCCGCCGATCGACTGGGCCACGTCCGAGGCTCGTCTGACTGACGTGGACGTGGCCCTCAACCATGATATCAAGATCGAAGACGTGGCGCATGCGGGCAAGCACATCGACTTTGCCAACCGCCATCTCCATATCGGGTGCATCATTCCATCGGCCACGCAAGAGGAAGTCTTGTTCTCAATTCGGCCTGAGCTCTTTCTCGCCCTTCTCGCCACCGAGTCGCTGCTTCCGCACGAGGCTGTGGTCATTCGCGGCGCGCCGCTCTTTGCCCGGTACTCTGGCTATCTGCACAGCTTCCGCTACGCCGGGCCGGGCGTTGGTGCCGGCTCGGCTGCCGCGGATCCGACCGAGATTGTCGCTATCGATGCCATCGTCGCGCACTCGGTCGGCCAGCAGCTTCGCGCCTCGTGGTTTCAACGCGACCTCAACAAGGCATACCTCGGTTTCTCAGGCTTTTTGTTGAACGAACCTCTTTCATCTCCGCTCCCTGCCGACGGCTGGGACCCCGCGCTGATCTCGACCGGTATGTGGGGGTGCGGCGTGTTTATGTGCAACCCGACCATCAAGTTCTGTCAGCAGCTAATGGCCGCCGCTGTTGCTGGTTGCCGGCTTGTCTATTCCACCTTTGGCAAGGCTGAGACAGCCAGATCGCATGCGGCTCTCTTTGCTGCGCTTGTGGCCGCAGACGCCTCTGTCGGCCAGCTCTACCGTATTCTGCAGGAGCGTGATGCGGCGCGGTGCGACCCCCTGGATGCCTACATTATCAGGATTGTCTCTGGTGAGTCTGATGAGGGCTTTGCCGAGTATGGCACCCGGCGCGGCTTTGGCTGGGGTGCTGACGTCCGTGTCCTGGCCCCGTAGTCGCCGTCCCTGCACCCGAAACCAGCGATATTAATGCTGAACACTTTCTCCCGCTGCCATCAGCTCGGCCCTCCCTCCCTTTCCCTCTCCCTCTCTACAAAGGTGATCAATGGAGAGCAATGATCAGAGTCAGATGGACAAGATTGAAGCCGCGATGACGCCGATGACAGAGTGTCACTCCAATCCGTCGCCAGTCCGCTCAGCTGACACGCGATCACAGCAAAGAGGCACTCTCCCCCCCCGTCCTCCCTCCCCCCCTCCCCCTCCCTCCCCCCCTCTCCGCTTTCCCTCCCCCCTCCCTTCTTCCTCCTCCATCCCTTCTCTCCCCCCACCACCCCCATCCCCTCCCTTCTCCCAACCATGGAAGTCACCGCCCTTGGCCGCGAGCCCCCGGACTGTGGCGGGGGAGCCGGAGGCGGCTCCTTCCTTGTCCGCCTTGCCACCGACGAGTCGCACAACCACTGGGCGAGTCTGCTGGTGGACCTCCCACTGGAGCTGGGCGGACTGCGGTGCTTCACCCCGTCGCCCCTTGCCAGCACAACCCGTACTACTGGTTATGCTGGTAACAATGCTGGTGTGGTCAAGCCGCAGCCGGATGCGCCTCTTCCGCATGTCCGTCCCAAGTATCGTCTCCCGGCTCTCGACGCTTTGCCTGATGTCCATGCTCTCGATGCCGTTCTCATCTCCTCGCCTGCTGCGATGACTGCCCTCCCCTATCTGGTCGCTCACATGGGTTTTGCCGGCAAGGTCCTTGCTACTGCTGCTGCTGCTGACTTTGGCGCTATTCTCCTCCGCGCGCTTGTCCGCGAACACGAAGCCGCCGGCTGGGACTCAGCTCCTCCGGCCGATTTCGCCCACCCGGCTTGGGCCGACCTCCTCCCGCAAGACGCGCAAGCCTGGCGGAGTCTCTACTCACTGCGCGATGTCGAGGTGGCGCTTGATGCCATCGAACGCGTCTCATACGGCCAAATCGTCCACCTCCAGCCCGGACTCACTGCTCTCGCCGCTCCGTCGGGCCTCGCCCTCGGTGCTTGCTGCTGGAGCCTCGAGAGCCTGCAACACAAGGTGGTCTATCTGGCCGGCGCTTCCGCTGCCACCGGATGCGCTCCTACTCCGCTGGACCTCGCGCCATTGCTCGGGCCCGACGTTGTCATCGTTTCCAACACTGCGCCCGGCCCGCACAACGCGCCTGTGCTGCCGCAGCCGTCCGACTCGATCACGGCGCTTTGCTCGGTCATTGGCGCCACCGTCTCGTCTGGTGGAACCGTCATTATTCCAGTCGATCCCGTCGGCGCCGTCTTTGACCTCATCGAGACCGTCACCGCTTTTCTCGCCTCGCTCTCACTCCACACCGTCTCGCAGCTCTTCATCTCGCCGCTGGCCAAGGAAGCGCTCTCACACGCCAACATTGCCTCAGAGTGGCTTGCACCTGAGCTTCGTGACAAAGCGTTTGTGCCAACACCGCCGTTTTGCTTCTCGTCGCTCCTTGCGTCGCGGCATCTTGCCCACTACCGCTCACTCGAGCAGGCCATTGCGCTCTCGCCGTTCAGCTTTGATCCCGATGCTCCGCGCGAGCCCAAGATCCTCTGGGTTTCATCGCCACACCTCCGTGCTGGTCCGGCGGCCCAGGCTCTCGCGCTCTACGCCAACTCGACACGCTCCTCGCTCGTCATCACCCAGCCGCTCGACGAGACTGCTTTCGACGAGCTTCTGGCCCCGTTCCACCCGCTCGCGCTCAGGGTTGTCCATGCGCCCATCGAGCACCGGCTAGACGCTCCGCGCCTTGCCCAAGTCCTCACTCACCTTTCTCCGGGCGCGATCGTGGCCTCATCGGCACTCGGACTCGCGTCGTCGCTGCCTGCTCTTGCGCCGACCCTAGCTAGCATTCCGGTTCACGAGCTCGACGACGCCGGCGCCCCGCCGCCTCTCGCTGCCACCATCCATCTTGCTGCTGGCTTTGACAAAGTCGTTGTCCCGCACGAGCTTGCCGCTACCTCGGCCAAACCGCTCACCTTTCACGCCACCGCTGCGCTCCCGGTCACAGCTGCGCTAGTCCCGGATGCGACCCGATCTGCGTTCTACCGGCTGCAGCTGCCCGACTCGGGAGCTGACCCGTTCCAGCCGCTCGGCATCCTCTACGCCGTCCCCACCGCCACCCAGCTCGTGGAAGCGCTGCATGCGGCAGGCATCCACGACGCAAGCTTGCTTCTCCCGGACACAGGCTCTGGTCTTGTGCCCATGGACGTGGCTGGCTCGTCGACGACGCCCGCAGTCAAGGCTGAGACACCGGCTGCCGCCCGGCTCGGCTTGCCGTGTATCATCATCCCGTCGCTTGCTGGCTCGCAGCTCGTTGTCGGCCCCACTCATCTGCAGGTCAAGGCTGGTTCGCCCGACGCGCACTCGCGCATCGCCGCTGTCCTGCACGCGATGGACTCGTTCAAGGTCCTCTGAAAGCCTTTATGTGTTGTCGGCAAGCGCCTCGAAAAGGGTGGCGAAAATGGCACTCTGGCCAGTCACGCCGTGGACGAGCTGCGCACACTTGGAGTTGGTCCGCAGCAGCTCAAAGAAAGCGTGGACCCGCCAGTAGGTACGGCCCTGCCGCGCCCGCCCCCTGTCTGAGACGAGGACGCGATTGGCAAGGAGATATAGCTTGACAAAGTAGCCCGACGCCGTGATGTGGCCGGTGATGAGTGAACCCGAGCCGACACCGTTGGCGTCGACAAGGAGCACCTCGAGGAGGTCAAGACACCCGACAACGACCGCAGTCGGCGAGTCGGGGCCAAGCAGGTCCAGAAACGCCACCAGCGTCCCGTTGCCCACCAACGCTCCGAGAACCCGGCACTCGTCACGGGTCGCAATCTCCGCCAGCATCGCCCATCCGAGCGAGGCCGTCAGCGAGGAGCTTGCTGCGCACCATGTGTACAGTCGCTGGAAAAAGACCTTGGACGTCGTCAGGAGCTCAAATATGCCCGGGCAGGTGAGGAAGCCTTGCAGACACATCATCATGTTTCCGCGGACAAGCTCGTTGATCCGTGGCGGGTCCTGCCGCTTCGACGTCCGCAGCGATTTGGTGATAAATTCCGACACGACAAGCACTTCGGTCGGGGTGACTACAAGGACGCCGTCGCGCGCCGATCCGCGAGCTGATCCACCGGCGTCACCAAGCGCAATCATCCCGTGCTGCGCCGCCGCGTATGTGACCTTGACCAGAAAAGCCGAGAGGTTGATCGACGCCTGTGTCTCGCGCCCAAGCGAGAGCACCACCCCGCGCAGCATGCGGCCAAATACCGGGCCGAGGAGCCAGGCAAACTTGAGCTTGAGCGAAGGGGCAACAAGAGAAGACGATGTTCCGCCGTTGATAGCCTTGGCCTTGGCCTTGGCTTTGGCCTTGGCAGCCTTGGCTTTAGCCTTGGCTTTAGCCTTGGCCTTGGCTTTGGCTTTGGCAGCTTTGGCGGCTTTGGCGCGGGCCTTGGCCTTTGCCTTGGCGCGGGCCTTGGCAGCTTTGGCACGAGCCTTTGCCGCCTTTGCCGGCGACATGCCCCTTGACGACGACATCGACTCGGAGATCGACTGCGAGTCCGAGCTCGAGCCGGAGATCAGAGCGGGGTCCAGGCTAGAGCTCGAGCTCGACTCGGTGCTTGACGAAGAAGACGACGCCCGGTTGCGCCCAGACCGTTTGCCGCGCCCGCCGAGCCGCCCGCTGCTCCGGGAGAAGAGTGAGTGCAGCGCCGGCGAGAAGACGAGCTGCGACGGCGAAAATGCAGGCGTCGCCAGCCGCGAGATCACGTGCGGCGTGTGGAGGACAGCATCAAAGACCGAGTGTGCGAGAACCGCCGGCATCGCCGGGCGATGGACGGCCACAATCGGATTGAACGTCAGGCTCGTCCACAGCAAATCGTCTGAGAACGAGGCTGCCAGCGCTGGCGCCCATCCACTGGCAAGGAGCAGATCGACGAGCATCCGTGTCAGCTTGAGCTTATGCGAGCGCTTGGCCGTAACCACCAGCTCGTGGAGTGCGTCGAGAAGCCCGTTGTCTTTCGATAGCACAAATCGCATGACCGCCACGTTGTTGTTGGCGAGGAGCAGTCGCTTGAGGACAAAGAAGGCAAGATGTGCCGTCTCGCGCGATCGTGATGCCAGGCCCTTGAGCATGAGTGTAGGGAGGAGGGTGCGCTTGGACGAGATAAACCGCGACATGTACGAGTTGAGGCCTTCCCTTACTTTCCGCGAGAGCGGGAGAAAGCCGTCCGACTCGTCGGTTTGCTCCATCTTGCGAACATAGTACTCGGCGAGGACAAGCCGGACAATGCGCTCTTCCGACTCGTGGACCACCCGCTCGAGGAGATGCGCTAGAACTTCCTCGGAGATCTCCAGCACCGGAACAGATGTGCCGTTGAGGTATGTCATGGTCACCGCCAGCCAGTACCACTGGTCGAGGTTTGACGGGCCACGCTTCTTTGGCTCGAGGATGTGAAAGAGCAGACTGTGGCCGTGCTCCTCGTCGCAGGCCACTCGGGTGATGACTGTGGCGATCTTGGCGCGGAGCAGGGGCGAGACAGACTCGGCAAAGGCCCGAAGGAGGGTGACAATCGAGTCGGTGGTGAGCGCGTGGATGATCCGCACCCAGTGAGTGTCGCCACTAGCAGACATCGTCGTGTCGCCGTTCATCCGTGCGGCAGCCTCAGCGGCTGCACGCGACGAGGCCGAGCCTACTTCAACCTTGGACATCGACCTGAGCATCCGCTTGCGGCGGTCGGCTGCAGACGATGCCATAAACTCGAGAAACACGTCGAGATGTGTTGGAAGAGCCAAGAGCTCCAGCAGGGTCGAGTCGTCTGGCGGCGAGGTCTTGAGCAAGACTGAGTCCATAATCTCCATTTGATGAACTTGGATCTGAAGCGGGAAGACTGGATACGCCCACGAGTTGAGCATGGCATGGCGCGACTCGGAACTGACCAGAATGAGCTTTTCCTGCGTGAGCGAGACCCGGCCGCGGAGAAGATGACCGGTCTGATGGGTCTCGTTGGCCGACGACGATAGCGCCACCGAGAGTGAGGCCTCCGACCGCGAGCGCAGCTCGTTGAGCTTGTCGATGGCGTACGGCAGCTCGAGGACAGCAGGGCCGCCCGAAGCGCCGCTCTTGCGAACTGGCGCATCAGAGCTTCGCGGGAGGCCCCACCATCGGAGGCCAAACAGTGCCGACGACGGAAGAGTGTGCAGCGACGCACCGGACCGGCCCCGTCCGCGGGTTAGCGCGGCGGCGTTGGCTGCCGCCCTTTCCGTAGCGCGCTTGATCGCTGCCGTCTGCGTCGCCGACAGCTCGCGATACTCGCCGGCGGCGGTGTAGCGCATGCCCGGGATGGTGCGGACCGGACTGCGGATGGGGACCAGGCGCGGGATGTGCAATGGAGCGTGATACATGCCGTGCTCATCCATACGGGTCCGGGCCCTCATCAACAGCACGTCGACGACTTGCTCCAGCGCGACCGGCGACTGAACGCTGGCGCGCAGCGCTGCAGCCGACGCCCGCTCCGACGATGGGCGCTCATGTTCGACACGTGCAAGAAGCGAGGCTTCTGAGAACGGGCGGATCGGATCGCCACGAGCCTGCGCCGCAGTTTTGGCAGAGCTCTCGCTAGTGTGAATAAATGGCGAGATGGTAGCATCGGCCGAGCCGCGCAGCGAGCCGGGGACGGCGGCGGAGACTCGAACGTTCTCCAGCGCCGGACGCTTTCGCGACTGCGGAACAAGGCCAAGATCCTGGGCAGAGCTCCGATCAAAGGCCGCGGCTGTGTAGCTGGCGGCGGCAGGAGCGGCATCAGCTGTGGCGTCTGCCCACTGCCGCAGAGCGGCGACATAGCTCTCGTACGAGTTGAAGCGCGATGGCAACGGCTTGGGCGGGAGGGTGCGGAGGCGGGCGAGATCAGAAGCCATTCCGATGGGGTCAGGGCGTTCGGCTGTCGGCGAGGCAGTGACAAGAACGTGTGGAAGGTGCTGAGCACTCGGGTCGTGGTGGGCGTACAGAGCCTTGGCCCGCAGAGCCCACACCGTCAGCGCCGCCGCGTACTCGGTGTAGCTCGAGTACGCCACAGGGTCGGGCATACCGCATGCTGCCGCTGCCAGAGCAGACGGAAGGGAGCCTGGCATGCGGCAGCAGGTCGAGGGGGTGGTGGGGTGGGGTGGGAGAGGTGGTGGGAGAGGTGGTGGCTGCGCGCGTGCGCGACAGGCGGCGGAGCGATGGCACAGGTCGATAGCCTGGGTGCAGTGGAATCGATCCGTCAGAGCCGACACCATCTGGGGGACGAACTCATCAGAGCCGACACCATCTGGGGGACGAACTCATCAGAGCCGACACCATCTGGGGGATGAACTCATCAGAGCCGACACCATCTGGGGGATGAACTCATCAGAGCCAACACCATCTGGGGGATGAGCTCATCAGAGTCGACACCATCTGGGGGATGAACTCATCAGAGCCGACACCATCTGGGGGATGAACTCATCAGAGCCGACACCATCTGGGGGATGAACTCGTCTCGACTCGAGTCCGTTAACGATTTGAGTCGAATCCGTTTCACCCGCTCCGCCTTTACCTCGCCACAGCCACAGTCATAGCCATTTGCACAGGTACACTCCACTCCCCCCCCCCCCTCCCCTCCTCCTCTCGCCATGGCAGCATACCCTCCGGGCGTTCCGTCTGTTGGTGTGCCTGGTGATGATCTGGTGACCCAGATGGAATTGCGGTTCTCATGCAGGTAGGCGAGGTGAGGGTGGAGGTGGAGGAGGGAGGGGGTGAGGGAGGTGGGTGGGTGGGGGGCATCGCAGGCACTCACACATATGGCTGGTATGGGTATGGGTGGCGGATGTGGGTGGGGCGGTGGGACGGTGGTCAATGGCTGACAGGGGATTGGCCAATCTAGACAAGGCATCAAAGTCGGATCCCATGGTGGTGGTCTTTGCGAAGAAGGATCCGCCAGCGACTGAGTTTGCAGAGGTAGGACGGACGGAGAAGGTCATGAATGACCTCAATCCAAGCTTCCAAAAGCCGATCAATGTCTCGTACTTTTTCGAGAAGGTTCAGACCTTCCGTCTGGCTGTTCTAGACATCGATGAGCACGTGAGCTCGGTGAGCGACTACCGCCAGCACGACTATATCGGCGAGGTCGAGTTCAAGCTCTCGGCCGTCATCGGGGCTCCCGGCATGTCGCTTGAACTCCCGCTTGGCAACGTGAACAAGCCCGCGAGAAGAAACGGCTTCATTCGCATCACCGCAGAGGAGATGACGAACTTGTCGGCCGTGGTCAAGATGCAGATCCGTGGTCACAACCTCGACAAGATGGACACCTTTGGCAAGTCGGACCCGTTCCTGGTTCTTTCGCGGCTTCGCGCCGGCGCAACCGATGACTGGCAGCCAGTTCATAAGACCGAGGTCGTGCCAAAGAATCTCAACCCGACATGGCAGGTCTTTGAGGTCCCGATCGCCACCCTCTGCAACGCTGACTACGAGCGTCCGATCCGCATAGAGTGCTATGACCACGACAAGCGCGGGACGCCCGACTTCATCGGTGCTTTCCAAACCACACTCACCATGCTCTGCTCGCCAGATCAGGCCAAAGAGCTGGAGCTTATCAACCCGAAGAAGCAGAAGAAGAAAAAGTACCGCAACTCGGGCATCCTCGAGGTCATGTCCATCGAGGTCGTCGAGAAGCCGAGCTTCATTGACTACCTCGCTGGCGGACTGGAGGTCAACCTCATCATCGGCATTGATTACACGGCGTCCAATGGGAACCCGGCCAACCCGTCGAGCCTCCACTACCTCTCGCCGTACGAGGCCAACGCGTACGAGAGGGCCATGACCGCTGTAGGCGCCGTCGTCGCGCCGTACGACCACGATCAGGAGTTCCCACCCTTGGCTTTGGTGCCCGGCTCCCCACAGGTATTACTTCGTTCTGCTTCCCGGTCGCCGGTACCCAGGCGCCCGTCGCCATCCACGGCATGCCTGCAGTCATCCAGGCGTACCGAAACTCGCTTCAGTTCCTTGCCCTTCATGGGCCAACCAACTTTGCGCCGCTCATCGAGGCAGTCATCGAGCTGGCTCAGACGGCGATCAACTCGCAGGACTCGCAGACCTACTACGTCGTCCTCATCCTCACCGACGGCGAGATCACCGACATGGCCAAAACCAAGGCCGCCCTCGTCCGGGCCTCTTCGCTCCCGATCTCGTTCATCATCGTTGGCGTCGGCGACGCAGACTTTTCCAACATGGAGCAGCTTGATGGCGACGACGTCCGGATCTCGGCCAACGGCATCTACGCCGAGCGCGACATTGTCCAGTTTGTGCCGTTCCGCGACTTTGAGGCCCTCGATCCAGCGTACCTCGCGCAGTCTACGCTCCAAGAGATCCCACACCAGGTCCTCGACTTTTACGCCAAGCACGGCATCATGCCGCTGCCGCCGCGGCCTGTGGATCCCACCTATGTCCCGCCAGCCGACACAGGGTACGGCCAGGGCCCACCGCCGCCAGCCGCCGGATATGGCCAGGGCCCACCGCCGCCAGCCGCCGGATATGGCCAGGGCCCACCGCCGCCGGCCGCCGGATATGGCCAGGGCCCACCGCCGCCGGCCGCCGGATATGGCCAAGGCCCACCACCGCCGGCCGCAGCAGGGGCATCCGGCCCGCCGCCGCCTGGCTACGCGCCGCCGCCCTCCTTCTAAAACATCGATCGCATCGAGCACTTCCTTCCATCCACTGTCTGTCGCACACTTTGGCATCTCGCAGAAGGCTCATGCCAATCGGGCGGCTCTGCGCGCCTTTGCCTCTGCGTCCAGCTCTGCGTAGACGCATAGCCTGTACTTGGTGTCGGCCTGATCGACCTCGCCCTCTTCGAGTCCAGCCTCACCATAGACCGAGGCGTAGCAGTCTGGTGAGATGCACGCCTTGCGACATGATGTTTTCAGGGAAGGCCGGACTTGACTGCACTGCGGTTGACACGCCCGCGATCTCGATGTGTACGCCCTCCGCTGCTTGGCCACGTTGCGGGCCTCTGCGCCATGAGCCAACAGAGCCACCAGGACCACCACGACTACCACCACTGCCATGGCCACCCCTCGTACCTGCCGCCCACCGCCACCACCTGCAAATATCATGCCCATCCTGTGCTTGTCTCGGTCTGAGTGGGTCGAGTGGGTCCGTGTGTGGCTGCGGCAGATAGCCTGCTGCAGCTGACGCCGCTCGTCGGTGCGGGGCAGCTGCCTCGCTTGGCAGGCGGCAGATCCGAGCCGAGTCGGCCCATCGGGCGTTGCGGGGGCTACGGAGGGGGACCTCGTCGCTTGTTTGGATGGAGTTCTAGCGCTATGGTGGAAAGTGGAGGGCTCGCGAGGAAGAGATGAAATTCTACGTTGCGTGAACTGGGCGAGGAGGGTGCACGGGCCGGCTCGCAGCAGATGGCGACGATGTATGCGCGTGCTTGGCTGTTGGGATCATCTACGATGAAGACGACGGTGGCGATGTTGAGGCCGGTGGTGTGGCAGAGGAAGCAAGTCGCTCGGGGAGGGTGTTGGCTGGGGGTGAACGCAGGAGGCACGCGGGGACGATGTCTTGCGGGGGAACGACAAGACCCTGGGCGGTGAGAAAGTCCTCGTTCCAGAGCTTGGTCAGATGACGGGAGCCGTCATCGCACAGCAGGGTGACGATGGTGTGGCCTGGACCGAGGCGAGCGGCGAGCTTGGCGGCGCCGACGCAGTTGACGGCCGACGATGAGCCGAGGAAGAGGCCCTCGCGATGGAGCAGGAACCGAGACATGTCCAGCGCTTCCTGATCCGAGCACTTGAAGGCACCGGCTATGCCGGCATCGAGCGCCTGGTCAAAGTTGGCGGTCCGCCGATAGAGGCCGATGCCCTCGGCGATGGTGTCGACCTGGTTGCGCTTGCGGCGGCCCTCATCCTGAGTCGGCGAGTAGCACACGCCCTTGGTCACCGCGTAGTACAGCGCCGAGCCTTGCGGATCGACCAGATACGCCTGGACGTGCTCGTCCGAGACCTCCTTGAGATAGGTCGTGACGCCAGCGAGGGTGCCGCCGGTGCCTGCGGCCATGACCACGGCGTCGACCTTCCCGCTGGTCTGCCTCCAGATCTCGGGGCCGGTTGTTGTGTAGTGAGCCTTCCAGTTGACAGGCGTCTCAAACTGGTCAGCAAAAACACCATCAGGATCATTTTCAGCTGCCGTCTGCGCCCTGCGCACGTAGTGGCCCGGATCGACGATGGCCACCGGCGGGACACGCTGGACCCGCGCGCCAAGGGTGGCCAGCAGCTGGGCCTTCTCCACCGCCTGATCGGACGGCATGAAGATGACCGCTTCCAAGCCGGCAGCAGCGGCAACCCGTGCGAGTGAGATGCCTGTCGAGCCCGAGGTACCCTCGTATACCCTGCGGACACCCGGGTTGCGGGCGAGCGCATCCTCGATCAGAGCGCGGGCGACACGATCCTTGGGCGATCCGCCCGGATTAAGGTACTCTGCCTTGGCCAAAATGCGGCATCCGGTGGCCGCAGAGAGCGCTTTCAGTTCTACCATGGCTGTCTCGCCAATGAGCTCAAACAATCCGTCCCGCACTCGCTCGGCCTCACCGCTGGGCCTGCCTCCGCTGCGTCGGCACTGCCACCGCCACCAGCCCGCCGCAGCAACCACGCCCGCCACACCCACCGCAGCCACAGCCATTCCCGCCACAGTCACCATACCGGGCTGAGCCCTTGAGCTTGAGCTCATGCCTCTCTATCTACCGGCGTCAAGTGCCTCAAGTCCCCCATCCCCACCCTTCCCCTTCTGCTTCCCGCCTCGCCCCGGCACCACTCCGCTTTGTCGCCGCAGCTCGCCACCCGATGGCGGATGGCTGGCGATGGCTGGCGTCCAATGGGCACATCTGTGGTGAATTTGATACACCGCTCATGACTCTGTGATCAGAGTGGAAGAAAGAAGGAGGGGCGGGGGAGGCACGTCTGTGAAGATGATCTTCGGCCGGTTCGGGCCGGATTGGGCCAGGCCGGATGGTCTCTCCTCGCGACGTGCAAACCTCGGTGAGGCTTACAGTTGGTCGGCATAGGTGAGGAGATGGACGACGCCGTGATCGTAGTCGGGGACGGCGAGGTCGAGCCAGCCGTCGCCGTTCATATCGGCAACAGCGAGCGAGCCTACAACGCCATCGACAGCAAGGATGGTGGAGAGCTCAAAGGCCCAGGACGACGGAGGGCCCATGGGCGCAGCCTGAAACGCGGCTTGGGCGCCATCGCCGGCGATGAGGACCGTCGGCCGCTTGGCAGTAGTTGATACGTGCGCAGCGTAGGTAAAGCCGGGTGAGGCCTGTGGGCCGGGCGAGCGCTCTGTGGTGTTGAAGCCAGAGGCCACAACGTGCTTTGGCCACGAGCCAGACAGCACATCGGCCGGAAACTCATAGGCGAGGACGGCCGAGTCTGCGGACACGTCCGTGTGCGTGTTGGTGAGCAGATCGAGTAGCCCGTCGCCGTTGACGTCGACCACCGTGATCGACTCGAGCGGCAAGCCCGAGTCGATGACCAAGTGGTGCAGAAGCGAAGCATTCGAGGTGGAGACCACGTTGAGAGTCAACTGCTTGGCAAAGAACGAGGCACAAAAGACGTGGATCGAGCCTGGTGCAGCGGCGTGGGCGTCGATGGCAAACTCGACGTCGCAGCCATGGCTGGTGATGACTGTGAGCGGCCACGGCGCGACAGCAAGCGGATTCCGGCCACCAGGATTGCGCAGCCAAACCAGCTCGCCACCTGACGGACCAAAGATTGGCTTGGTAGCTCGCGCGGTAAGGATGTCGTCGACACCATCGCCGTCCATGTCAATCCACACCGCCCGATGGTAAAAGTAGCCGTCCTTGCGCGGCGCTAGCGCCACGGGAGATGCGGCGTCAGGCAGCGATCCTGTCGCCGCGAGCGGCAGAGCGTACACACTGCCTGTCGACTTTCCGGGGACAAGAAAGCCGTCACCAACGAGTAGTGCCGGCGTGGCCAGTGGGCCGTCGGGCGCAGCAGCCGAGTACGTGACCTGATTTGGCCAAGAGAGGCCAGAGTTGAGGACAACCGCATCCGGCAGAGCCGACCCGTTGAACACAGCCCCGATACCGCCCTGCCACACCACCGTCCCATGTCCGATGGCCTGAAAGGTGGTCATGATCAGTCCCAATCCAGCGTTATCTCCGCCGCCCGGGCGGCTGTCATCCCCAGGCATGACCGCCACAAACGAGGCGTGCGGCAGAGGGAACGAGGCCACAGCGCGCGGCTGGTCAGCTTCCAGATCCCGTGCCGAGGCAGAAAGGGCCACGATGGTTAGTACGAGGGTAAGCGCTACCGAGGTAGTCGGCGTTGTCATGGCAGGCAGTGAGAGGGAGGAAGGGAGGGAGGGAGAGAGATGATGGCGGTGTATAGGCAGTGTGTGCAGTGCAGCATGGTGCGGGATCCGGCGGCAGCGGGAGGGCTCATCCTTGGCTGACGAAAAATAGTGCCAACGGCTGCTGCCGTTCCCATAGGTGTGATCGGGAAAGATCAGGGCCTGTCGGCGATGATACAGGTTGGATGTGTCGGATGCAATTCGCTGCAAGGCCCTATGCTGCTCTACACAAAGAGTGGTATCCTGCTGGTTGATCCAGTGCTTGGCTTTGTTGTTGCCTCTGCCATGGCTCCGACGGCCTGTGAAACAGTATGATGGGAGCCGATACCACACGTCGTCCAAGCCAGTGGTGCCAAGCCCTCGCACAGACAGCATGCTATCACGATCGGATGGAACGGGGTGGGATGGGAGTGGGCGAGGTGGAGGTGATGTCTTGTGTGTCTGCCACGTGACTGGTGTCGGCCTTGATGGTTGCTTCCACGTCAACAGTGAGGGCTAAAAAAAAGGAAGGATGATTCTTTCTTTTGCAGCTGGCGGCGTAAAACCGCTTGCCTTTTCTCGTCCTCGACCGATTGCTCGCGCGGACAAGGTCTCCTGGATCAGCCGAAGGAGTTTACGCGCATCGCATGGCAGGTAGGAGCACGCAGGAGGCAAAGCAGCGGCGGGTGGCCAAGGCAAGTCGGCGGCGAAAGATGGCGGCGCAGGCAGCAGCGGCGGCTGAGCAAAGGGCGCGGAAGAAGAAGCAGAGCATGTCACGGGAGGTGAAGCGTCGGAATCAAGTACCAAAGGCTGGCATGTGTAGCATCTGCATGGATACAAAGCCGCTGACAAAGATGGTGGGATGCGAGTGTGCCATGTGCAGTGAGTGCAGGCGCCGCTCGTTGGAGAGCCACATGGATCGGCTAGGCATTGCAAGCGAGCTGATGTGCCCGATGTGCTCGCGGGCAGTGCCCGATTCTCATGCGATGCGGGTGCTCTCGAACACATATCGCGAGCGACTGGCTCGGTGGCGGACGGCGGCTGATGCCGAGCAGGTGGCGCGGGAGTGGCAGCTGAGTCTTGTCGGCCGGCTGGTGGCCTGGATCCTTCTGCCGTTCTCGGCGCTTCAGTCGATGTCGTCGCTCTCGGAGGTGTACAAGATGGTGTTCACCACGCCATGTCCACGCTGCTCTGTGCCCGTCATCAAGAACGGCGGCTGCAGTCACATGACGTGTACATCGTGTGGGACCCACTGGTGCTGGCAGTGCATGTACTATTCGGCCAAGGCACCCAAGCGCTATCACGGCTCACATTTTTGCTTCGGACGATGGCTGGTCACTGGCAAGTTTGCTTGGCTCAAGCTCTTTGTCATCGGCTCGATCATCGACTACATTTTGGGCGCCAACGTGGCCTCCTCACACGCTGCTGCGGCCATGATCGATTGGCTCGCGCAGTATCCGGGCCCAGCGCAGGTTGTGTGGGTCCTGGGCTGGCTATACGCGTTCGAGACCATGATCCTAGGCGGCATCGCCGCCGCCGCCTCGCTGGGCTTTGCTGCCCTCACCACGACACACTCGCTAGTGTCCATGCCATTCAAAGCCGCCTGGGAGCTGCTCATGCCGATTGCCGCCCCGTATACAGCTGCTGTCACCACGGGTGCCTGCAATGCGACCCTAGCGCTGCTGTACGGAGGCGGATGAACATCAAACACTATTGCAATGCAGCCAGGATGGCAGTGACGGCGGCGGCGGCGGCATCGCGGGTCAACCGGCATCGCGAGTGTTGATTGTGCGGATGCAGCTCCTCGGGCGCGAACATGGTCCGTTTCGAGGTACCGCACGACACGCATTTGACGGTTGGAGTAGGTGCGGCCGGATCAGGTGCGGCCGGATCGGGGGTGGTTGGGGCGAGTGGAGCCGGAGCGGGTGTGGTTGGGACGAGTGCGGCCGGAGCTGGGGTGGCCGGAGTGGGTGCGGCCGGATCGGGTGTGGTTGGAGTGGGTGCGGTCGGAGCAGGTGCGGCCGGAGCTGGGGTGGTTGGAGTGGGTGCAGCCGGAGCGGGTGCGGCCGGAGCGGGTGCGGCCGGAGCAGGTGCGGCCGGAGCGGGTGTGGTTGGAGCAGATGCGGCCGGAGCGGGCATGGCCTCGGCATTGGCGATGCATTTCTTGCAGCGGCGCGGCACCTGCGGTGGCTTCTGCCACTGATTAGTAGAAAACGCCCAGCGGTATGACACGCCACAAATGCTGCACGACACGGCAGCGGCCTTCGTGGGCGGCACAGGCGTGGCCTTGGCATTGGCGATGCATTTCTTGCAGCGGCGCGGCACCTGTGGTGGCTTCTGCCACTGATTAGTAGAAAACGCCCAGCGGTATGACACGCCACAGATGCTGCACGACACGGCAGCGGCCTTGGTGCCGACAGCTTTTGTGGGCTCGATCATGCGCTTAGCAGCGGTGCATGCTTTGCACCGTCGCACTTCCGGCTTGCGCTTAAAGGTCTTGGACGAAAAGTCGGCAAAGGCGGTGGTACCACAAGTAAGGCATGGTAAAACAGCAGGCGGCGGCGGGCCAAAACCCTTGAGAGCGGCAAAGCACGGGTTGCACCGCCGGAGGAAGGGCGCAATCGCGCTCACGTTGGGCGGCATGGCGCTCGACTCGCTTGTTCCGCACACGCTGCAGTAGATCCCACTTGCAACGACCTGTGGCGGTGCGGCGGGTGGCGGGGCGGGTGCAGTCCGCTTGGCGTCAATGCATGGCGTGCAGCGGCGCTTGGATGCGGCCGTCTTTTTCAGCTGCGTGCCCGAGAACTTGTTTTGGTTGGTTTCGCCACAGGCGATGCAGATCGCCTTGCTCTTGGGCTGCGGCTTGGGGGCAGCTGTGCATGCGGAACAGAGCAACACTTCTGGAGATGAGGCGGCCAGCTTGACAGAGTCGGTCCCACCGCACTGCGAGCAGGTGGCTGGCGGCTTGTGGAAGCAGGCCTCGCACATGAGCTGGGACGACGGGATCCGCTCCTGCATGGTCGGCGACGGCAGCGCCGCCCGGTCTGTCGTGCCACACCTGATGCACACCGCCGGCGAGGGTTCGACCGCCGCTGACGAGCTAGGCTCGCCCTGTGGGCGCGGCGGTGCCGCTGGGCTGGACGGCGATGCCTGCTGGCCGGCGATGCACTTCTTGCACCTGCAACGATTTGGCGGAACCGTGTGCCACTGTTGTAACGAAAAAGCGTCTCTCGATCGAGTACCACACACGGTACAGACTGGAGCCTTGGTCAAGGCGGCGACAAGATCAGCAGCGGCAGTGACAGGCGGCACTGGGCGCTTGGCTTTGGTGCACTCGTTGCAACAGAGTCTGACGACGGCAGTGGAAGCGAGGGCGAGCGCCGAAAAGTGCTTTGTGCCGATCACGCCACACACCGCACACGATGGCAGTGGAATGGGGGCATTGGCAGCGACGCACTTTTGCACCGCCGCGCGCTCGCGCTGATCTTGCCAATCTGCTGGTTGGAAAACTGAGCCACGTCGATGGTCCGGCAGACGCAACATGCCCATCTAATCATCTTTGCAGCGATTGTGACCATGCCGTCGTTGCTCGCGGAGGCCTTGACTTGTGCGCTTGACTCGGTCGAGCTACTAGCGCGTGCTGCTGCGTTGGAGTTGTGAGCCATCGAGCAGTTGATGCAGAGAAAGTCTGGCCCAGGCAAAGTTCGCCACATGTTGATGGCAAAGGCAGCACGGTCTGTGACGCCGCACATGGCACAGACCTTGGGCGGGTTCGGCTCCTGAGCCGAACCCGCTGCGGCACACTTGATGCACACCCTGGTCGGCTCGCCACTCGATCGGTTCCACTCGTGAGGAGCAAAGGCATCCTGCGGGAGCGAGGCGGTGCACTCGCGGCATGGGCGCTTGACAACAACTGCGGCCGAGGCGCCAGCGCGGTCTGAATTGGATGCGGCGCGCTGTTCGTTGCATGGACTAAGCGAGTTGACGATGGCGGCCCAGTACGTGCGGAGAACAAGCGTGATCGAAGGTGACGAGAGAGCCAGCGAGCCAATCAACGTATTGGTGACCTCTCGCATACGTCGGACAACAGGGCCAACGTCGGTGTCGAGGCAGAGCGGGCCAATGTGTAACTCGGCGGCCTCACCAGGCCAAACCCTACTGAGACCAAGCGGGGCCCAGCCGTTGGGAGACTGGAGGCCGTTGCCAGCCGCAACATTGCGCATGATCCGTACCAGGACGGCGCCATACTCTATCTGAGCGAGCAAAAGCAAGCCGCTGCGGAGTAGATCTGGGATATGGTCCCGAAGGATGTGGTCCAGGTTGCGGCTGTCGACTGGGCTTGGCATGTTGAGACTTGCGAGCTGAGTGGTTTCGCTGGCTGGCAACGCTTTCAACGCAAAGGTCACCAGATCTGCCCAGTTGACCACACCCACCAAGCCCTTGTACGAGCTCTGCTGGGCGATCACCCCCGCAATAAAGGCATTGTCGGTCGAGTGGACGTGAGCCTCATGGAGCGCGTGTTCGAGACGATGACTCCTGGAACAGTGTTGTGGCCACGCAACGGCCACGAGCTTCAAAATGGACAAAGGAAGGTCTTGCGGGAGGGCAATCGATGCGCTGACACAAGACGACGAGAGCTTGATACAGGCAGCGACTGCGGCCTCGCTGTCAGCGGCTGAGTAGATTCGAAGGAGGTCGGCATGGCAGGTGATCCAAGCTGCGATGCCGTCCAGCTTGACACGGTCACCGGTTTGATGGGCCATGACCTTGCTGGCGAGCCAGTCGACATCGACGATGACGCTCTCGACAAAGGAGGCAAGGGTGGACGAGTCCGGTTGGCTGCTGGCGATGTATCTGAGCAGATACGAGACAATGATCGAGCAGAGGGCAAAGGTCTGGGGACTGATGAGGTCAATCTGGGACAGAGCACAGTGCAGATGAACGTAGTACTCATGCACTTTGCGCAAGGCAGAGAGTAGCGTGTTGCTTTTCGACCGCTTTGTGAAAGCCATATATCCTAACGCATCGTATTGATTGTAGCTGCTGGCCGAGTCGTCAGCGGCGCGGATCTGAGCGATGAGTGTGTTGACGAGGTCACCTCGAGCCGCCTCCTCCTCCCCGGCGGTCTCGGGGAGGCAGGGCAAGCTGTGATGGGTTCCTACTTCCTCGGTCCATGTCAAGGGATTAAAGTGTGCCATGCTCAACCCGAGGCGGGGTGGCGGGGGGAGGGCGTGTGTACAGATGGAGCGGGGTGGGGGTGTGGGATGCTGGGTGGGGAGGGGGTGTGATCAAGCGGGGAAAGGGGAAGCGATGCCGCGACTGCTGCGAGTCGCCAACACTCGCGGCCTGCTGAGCGACGCGAAGCGGCTGACACCGTACTTCGCTAAGAGCTCCGATGGCGTCGACAGAGTCGGCTCCGATGGAGCGGGAACCCACCTGCCCACCCTTTCTGATGACGATGCGCGACGACGACGACAACGCGCGCCCTCTGGGCGACCAATTCTCACCTTAATATCGTGTGTACGCGAGCCATCGAACGGCGCTCTCACGTACACGCGGTTCACCGTGCCAATCGGCACGATGTGCTGGTAACGATGGTCAGCACAGTAAATGCGAGGAAATCTCTCTCAATCCGTCGAGCCAGCGGTGCGACCGTTCGGCCGGCAACCAGGAGTGTGTGGGTGGTGACGGGAGGGGAGTGCGTAGATCGGTCGGGTCTACGGGTTGATGGCGACTGCGGGCCGATCGTGATCGCAGGTACTAGACGGCAGATTGTGGCAGGTTGTGAAACTGTCGAGATCGCAGGGTGTACACAGCGATCAGTACGGATTGAAGGTTTCATGGAGATCGATGAGACCCGCTGCAGACCGTCAACTGCTTGGCACACCGTGCCCGCAGATGGTAGACCGAAACGGTCAGCAGATCAGGTCTGATGGGGTTTACAGATGGTTGGTGACATCGTTCCACTCGGCGATCCACTTGGCGATCCAGCGCTGTTCGGTGAGACGGGCGGCGACAACCGAGGGTGGATCGCTCGGGCGAGAGGCAAAGAGGTCCGAGTGGTGAGCGCCGTCGGCAATGTTGAGGGCAATGATGGACGCCGACTGGTTGGTGAGCGGCGTGCCCGATGAGCACGGGTCAAGCATGCCGTTGGCAAAGACAATGTTGGAGGCGCCACGGATGGGGCGACCGAGAAAGTGGGTGGTGATCCACGACGGCCGGGAGACAATGCCCGGGAACTGTTGCGCGCAGGCAGCGGCAATGCCAGCAATGTCGGGCTTGGCCGGCGCGAAAAAGTCGTGGATCCCGTCGGCGCCACCAAAGTCCAGGGTGATCTCGGTACAATAGAGGTACGTCCACGCGGTGATGTCGACGGCTGGGATTGACGACGGTTGCCCTTGGTTGATGTCAAAGCAGTCACCGCCGGCGCCAGTGTAGTTGTAGAAGAGAGCGGCGACACCTGCAAGCGCGTCGAGGCGCGAGTCAGCGCGGCCGACAATGTCGCATGCGGCACGGATTGGGTTCGCCGGTAGCGGCGCAAAGAAGCTGGTGGCAAAAGTGTAGTCGGCCATGGCCAGATATGAGAGCGCGGCGCTGAGGCGGGCGAAGAGCGCGTTCTCGACTTGAGCCGCCGACGCGAGCGGCTTGCAGAGCGAAAAGGTGGCGGTGAGGCGGGCGAGGCCGGTGGGCGAGGCCGCTAGCTTGGTCATCTCGGCCCATGCCGGCTGGAAGACGTCAAACACGCCCTCGCATTGGTCTGCCCACGTCTTGGTCGTCCATCGGTTGAACCCGAAGCCGCCGTCGGGCGCGGTGTCGACAAAGCTCCACACCGGAGCTGACGAGGCGATGGCGCCGGCGACAATGTTGGGGTACTTTGCACGGAAGAAAGCCGAGAGGATGCCGCCGTACGAACCACCAAAGGTGATGACCGGCGCGTGCTCGGCGCCCGGAGCGAGGTAATGCGGCGACGACGGATCCTTGAGGGCGGTGATGAGCAGGGCGTAGTCGGCGAGCGCCTGCTCGATGGTAAGCCAGCGGAGGTTGCCAGTGTGGTTAAAGGTGGCCTTGCCAAACGGCAGCGACTCGCCAAAGTATCTGTGCTCGGCAAAGACCACTGCGGCGCCCATGGCGTCGGCAGCCTCCCAGACGGCGCCGGCAGCCTCGGCATACGCCGTGATCTCGTCCTCGTTGCCGGTGTAGAAAAAGATGGGTGAGCCCTGGCGGCCAAAGCTCGCACTCGAGTGCAAATACCGCTGCTTAAAGGTCACCGATGCCGGCTCGGTAAACTCAAAGTGGTCCACCACCTGCTCAAAGTAGCTCGTCTGGTAACCGCGCTGTGCCTCCTCCGCCACCGCCGGCCGGACCTGCCGCTGTCCGCCAAAGGGTCCGGCCTCACCCACACGAAAGGCGGTCGTCGACGCAGTCGTGGTCATGGCTGCAAGTAGCAGGGCGAGAGCGACGAAGAGGTGGCCTGTACTTGGCATGTCGATGAGGGGAGTTGTGTGGGTGCGGGGCTGGGGCATGGCCCGACTTTCCACTATGATTAATCCTTCAACAAATAATGGTACCCCCATAGCAACCACAAATAGTGGATGTCTCCAGCCTGCGCCCCCGATCTGATGCCGACATACCCCCCCCCCCCCCCCCCCTTCACAGCCACCGACCATGGATGACCCGTCGGGCGAGCTGGGCATGAGCTTTGTCCTCCGCTACCGGAGAAAGGAAGGACAGGGACGGAACAAGGCCGGAGCTTCTGATACTAATGATGCGTACCAGAACCAGCTTAAGACCATCGGCTCGTTCTCGAACTTGGCTGACTTTTGGGAGCTGTACGCCTTTCTCAAACGGCCTGGCGAGTTTGACCACCTTGGCGACCTGACCCTTTTCAAGGACGACATTCCGCCCATGTGGGAGGATGAGCGGAATAAGCATGGTGGTCGCCTTGTCTTCCGCACGCCCAAGATCGCTGCTGCCGCATACTGGGAGCGCTTGGCTTTTGCCATGCTCGGCAGGCAGTTTGAGGAGTGGGACGCCATCAACGGCGTCTGCGCAAACACCCGCCACAACCAGTCGGAGCTCGAGGCAGTCCTCGTCATCTGGACCGCCACCTCCGAGTCCGAGGTCATCGACTCTATCACCCGTGACATGAACCGTCTCTTTGAGCTCCCGCCCCGCCGCCGCATCGCCTTCAAGTCGCATCGCAAGTACTACGGCAAGTCGCGCCCGGCCGCCTCCTCGGGCGCGCCCACCCCGTCGGCAGACGCCTCCGACGCTGTTGCGCCTCTCGCCGACTCGCATCAATGAATGCTACTGCGAGCCTTGAGTTTTCCCTTCCCGTCACTTGCCCCCCCCCCCCCCCCCCCTCTCCGCCTTGCGGGCCCGCTCCGTAGTTGCAAGTCGCGTTCATTGCTGCACCACTAATAGCTACAGCCATCGCCGATGAGGCGTCGGCAGCGAGACATCAGGGCCTGTCGACAAAATCGGCAGCCAAAGGGATGGCGTCCGGAAGGCCCTTGCGCTTGCGGATGGCGGTGACGATGGAGTGGGCGAGGGTGCCGTCCTCGTACGGGTCCGAGTCGATGAGCGCCCAGTGCGAAAAGGCCGACTGGTTCATGGCCTGGCCCGAGGTGGCGTCGCGGAGGAGCGGGGTAAAGTCAAACGACTCGCCGACCGGTAGGTGCGCCTTGACCACAAGCATGCCTGACGCCGGGTCGCGGGCCTGATCAAAGACCTCGCCGCGCTTGCCAGCGAGGACCGAGTAGACGGCGCCGACGTGGGCCTCGGGCACGGTCACGGTGACCTCGAAGATCGGCTCCATTAGCCGCGGCTGCGCCGAGAGGACGGCGCCGCGGAAGGCCGAGATGGCCGCCGGCCCCACGTGCCGCTCCGACCGGTGAGTCGAGTCGGCGTGGAAGAGGCCATCGGCAAAGCCGAGCCGGACGCCGCGCATCGGCTCGCCGGCTAGCGGGCCGGCGCGCACCACTGCGTCGAACGCGTTGCTCAGGCTGTCACTCGCTTCGGCGATGTAGTTGACACCCTTGGAGTCGTTAACGAGCACGTTGGCCCGCGAGTCTGCCGCAGGGTCGCCCCACGCCAGCACAGCCTTGGCCTCGGCCTTGTCCCATCCGGCCCGCACCAGCGCGGCGTTCCGCGCCTTGGCGTCGCCGGCCATCTTGAGCTCGCCGCTGTCGATGGCATCCACGATCGGCGCCTCCAGCGGAGTTGCGGTGGCAAAGACTCGGTTGTGCTTGTTTGTCGACCGCTTGAGAACCGGCTCGGCGACGGCCGCCACCACCGTCTCGGCGTACGTGGTGATCGGCTCACCGGCCACAATCGGCACACCGGCGTAGAGCTTGCTCAGGTCCGACAGCGCAATCTCAAGATGAAGGTTGCCCACCCCGGCAATAATGGTCTCCCGCGTTGTTGGGTCCGTCGACACCACCAGACTCGGATCGCTCCGGTTGAGCCGCCCGAGCCCACGCACAAACGCCTTGAGGTCGCTTGCCCGCGCCGGCTTGACAGACACTCGAACTACCGGCGAGACCGAGAACTTGAGCGGCCGGATGTTGACAGCTTCAGCCGACGTCGAGACCGTTCCGGTCTTGATCAGCGCGCCCTCGAGGCCCGAGAGACCGACTGTAGAACCGGCCGGCACGCCACGCGATACCGACTCGGTCGAGCCTGCCATCCACACCGACGTCGCAGTGATGCGTGCGGTTGTCCGTCCAGCCTCGCTCCTCGCCGCGCCGCTCGCCGACGCGCCGTCGCCGCTGTCAGCCTTGGAGTACTCGGGCGAGAGGGCAAAGACCTTGAGTCCGGGACTTGCCCGACCGGAGAAGACCCGGCCAAAGGCAAAGAACGCATCGAATCGCTTGTTCGGCACCATCTTGGAGACGTACATGACAAGCGGGCCGTCGGGATCGCACGCCATCATGGCCTTGGCCTCGGCGCTCTCCAGATCGCCCTCGTACAGGTACGGAACCCGGTACGGCTGCGCCTCGACTGGCGATGGGACGTGGAGGACGACAGCAGTCGCCAGTGAGAGTCCCGCCGGCAGCCAGGCCTTCATCACGGTCTCCAGGACTGCCGCGTTGGCGTTGGCCTCGAGCGCGTCGTAGTCGGCGACTCGCAGCTTGACCGCGTACCGTTCGAGGACCGGCTCGAGCTGAGCCCGGGTGACACCTTCGGTTCCGACCAGCTCGAACATCTCCCAGATCGGGCGGAGGACAAAGCGGCAGAAGCCGCGCTCGAGCGCAGTGCCGTCAGCCGCTGTCGGCTGCTTGACAAATCCGCCCTTGGCCGGATCGAACCAAAAGTTGCCCCACAGCCGCTTCATCCACTTTTCCGCCGTCGAGCCGATGCGCGCGGCATAGAACTGGGCAAAGTCGGCGAGGGTGAAGCCCCAGCCCTGCTTGCCTGACGCAAAGAACACGTTGCCCAGCCGCGGGTTGAACGGAACAAGGCCCGGAAGCTGGTGGACGGTGTGGCCGTCGGCAGCGGCCACGGCCTGGGACTCGGCGTGCTCGTCGAGGATGGCGTTAACGTCGCCGATGACCTTGACAAACTGCTCGTACGCCTCCTCGGGCTCAAACTTCTTCTCCAGAATGAACCGATCCACCTTGTTGATGCAGAGCACTGCTGGCTTGACCAGCTCGCCCAGCGCCTGGCGGAGGACCATCTTAGTCTGCACCCGCGGACCCTCGACGCAGTCGACCACCACGATGGCGCCATCGGTGAGCCGGAGCGAGGCCGTAACCTCGGCCGAAAAGTCGATGTGGCCCGGCGAGTCAATGACGTTGATGACAAACGGCATGGCATTGCCCGGAGCCACCGTGGCATCCGCCTGAGCGCCCGCGCTTGCGCCTGCGCTCGCTGCGTCGCCCGAGTCGAACGAGCCTGCCGAGGGAACAAAGTCCGGAACAGGCACGTCGTAGCAGAGGGTGATGCCCGTCGACTTGATGGTCACACCACGCTCCTTCTCGTCTGGAAGGGTGTCCATTTCGCAGGTGGAGCCGGCCTTTGCCGACGCCAGAAGCCCTGCTCCAGCGAGTAGCGAGTCGGTTAGCGTCGACTTGCCGTGGTCCACATGGGCCACCACCGTCACGTTCCGCACCTTGTACGGCGTCTCCTGCACCTCCAGCACCTCGTCAATGTCAACACGGCGTCTCCTGCTCATCACCTTTAGATTTGTCTGCTTATGACTTGCTTCTGACTTGCCCACTCGCTGTCACTCGCTTGGTAGTGTCTGTCTCTTCACCTCTTTCCTCGCACGCTGCTGCTGCCTGTCGCTCTTTTAGCGAAACGGTCGGCTTTCTGGATACGATTGGAAAACGAATTCGGCGCCTTTGGAAGGTATTGTACCTTTTGGACGGGACCAGCGCCCTGCCTTTGATTGGCGCCAGGCCACGGGTAAAGTGGCCAGGGGATTACCTTTAGGGATGGGTGCAGCACTAAGTGCCGGTAGGGACAGCAATTTCCAAGACCGACGACACGCCCTTGTGACCGAGGACTACCACCTGACGCCCATCGGGCGAGATGCGCATGGCCACCGGATCGCAGGTCGGCGCCACAAGTGAGTACCGCAGCTTCCACGCCCGCTTGTCGATCACGCCGCGTCCCGAGGACGATCCGATCGACGACGACGATGCATTGTGGTCGCCGCCGCTCTTGCTCGAGAGGATCGACGTTGACGAGCCGATGGTTTCATCGGCTGAGATTGAGAACGACGCCGTCTCCTCGCCCGAGTGCTCAGAGAGGAGGTCGATGACGTGGACCGGGGCGCGGCGCCAGCGCTTTGCCGACTTGCGCCGCGGCGGCGCGCTTGCCCGCCGGCCGGTCGCATATTCGGCGTACCGACCGTGCTTCGAGTGGACAATGACCCGTGCGCGCGCCTTGCGATGGATCCTTGGCTCGCGCGTCCGCACCCGCCGCTTTGGCCGCCGCCGGTAGACGTTGACAATCGCATGCTGCGCGCCGCGGAGCGACGACGCTAGTGCCACTGTAGCAACCAGCCCATCCGGTGAGACCACCGCGTCGAGGATCGGCCGGTGCGTCGGGAGCGGGAGGCGCAGTCCGCGCGCCATGCGGCCGACTCCGGCTGCGCTCATCGGGCCCATCTCGGCCACGTGCACGCCCTTGATGCTGAACACCGGCAGAAAGACAGGCGCGAGCTGCCGTCCCCGCTGCAGCAGCCACACAGCTCGTCCAACATTCTCTGTTGACCACGCCAGCCGCAGCATCTCGCTTCCGCCCTCCTCCACCACTTCAAAGACCCAGGTCCCCACGACGTCGATTGTCACCGCAAGCAGCGACGGGCTCAGCCAGGTCACATCCGCGAGCACAAGCTGGTCCGGTGGTGTCTGCTCCAGCGCAGGCACCATCGCTTGATCCTCCACACTCGCCACGGGTTGGCCTGGAAGCGACCCACATCCGACTCGGACAAGAACCACAGCGCCCGAGTTGAGGACAAGCCCACGCGCGCCATGTGCACCTCGCCTTCTTGTCCGCCTCCGCCCTCGTCCACGAGCGAGATGAGCGCGAGGTTGACCACAGACGACGCCACAGTCTGCCCCAGCGGCACAAACGTCGACCGTGGCCCGCCGGTAAACGGCGGTCGTGCGTCAAATACACGTACCCCGTAGTGTCCGCCACGCCGCCCGCGCGCTTCAAGCTTGCGCTTGAGTGACGGCCCATGAAGCCCGCGGAGACCGGGCTGGAGCCGAAGTGTCGCTTCTGACGCGCTAAACTGGTCATCGCAGTCCGCCGACGATGTCGAGTCCGAGAGCCGTGATGAGCCAGAGCTCAATTCGCCTCCATTGTCGGCCGCTCCTTCGGGCACAGGCAGTGAGGTGCCTGACGACGTCGATGTGCCCATCGATGTCGACTCGGACTCGACCGCCTCCCATGACCACATCGCGCCCATGTTGCCATTGTCCAGCATTCGCCCGGTCCACGGCACCATCAGCGACGGCCCATTCTCCACCACCACCAGCGGCTGAGAGCTCACTGCGTCCCAGATCCGCGCCGTGTGATCCATTGCTGCCGTGAACAGGCCCAGGCGCTTGTCCTGGCCGCTCAGCCAAAAGAACTGCACCACAAGGATCGGCGCTGTGTGCCCGCGCAAGTTGACCACCCACAGCTGCGGCCGGGTCTCCTCTTGGGACGCCGGTTGAGTTTCGGTGCTGGCGCTAGTCGCGCCAAAGTGCCAAACGCGAACAATTGGCCGCTGGCGCGCCCTGCCGCTCTCGATCGCCGCCGCCGCTGCCGACGAGTCTGGCGCAAACGCTAGCCGCGACGACTGCGCTGCAGCCGTGTTGAGCACTTTTTCGATACTGACCCGCCGGCTCGCAAGCAGCACGCTCGAGTCGAGATCGTGCTCGTCCAGGTCGACCGCGTTGGAGAGCTCGCGAACCAGTGGCGCCCGCATGGCCTCATGAATGACTTCCTGCCACAGGCCGAACAGCAGCGTTCCGCGATTGCCCACCAGAATAAGCTCGCCTTTTGACGAGATGTGCATGCAGTGGTTCGCCAGCAGTAAGCACTGCCGCGAGTGGAGGACCCGCATGCTACTCGCCTGCAGAAACGCGTCCATCATGGCCTCGGTCGCCACAAGGTCAAAGTCCAACGGATCGTCGTCGCACGGTCGTGCAGGCTCGCCGAACCGCGCGGCCATGCTCTCACCCCACGGCACGTACTTGCCGCCGCCAGACCCATCGGTCAGCGTCCACACCTTGAACGAGTCGTCGACGCCCGACGACACAAGGTGGCCGGCCAGCAGGCAGCAGTCGGCCACCACGTCGTCATGCGCCTCGACAGAAAACAGAACCTGAAAGCTCTGCTGCGGCGCCGTGTACATCACCACGTGCGCGCTGCCATCAGTGCATCCGACAGCAAGAAGAACCCGTCCAGATTTGAGCGGCGGACCCGGAACCTTACACGCTTCCGCAAGTCGGAGCGCGGAAATGCCGACGCTCCGCCCCGACGCCACCGTCACTGCCGAGAGCTGCGCGTCGAGCCACCGCGTGGTGGCAACCACCCGACCCGAGTCGTCGCCCATAAACATGATCGAGTCATCCGGCAGGGCTGCAATCGTGAGCACAATGCCCAGCTGGGGCGTGTCGATTGCCGCCACTACCGGTACAAGAATGTTGAGGCCCGGTGTGCCGCCCGAACCCAGCCCCCCTGTCGACGAGCCAGTCGGCGAGCCCTGGCCAAGCGGTGTCGTCGCGCGGTCCGGGAGAACTTCAGCCGAAACGCCGCGCGCCAGCGGCACTGCGCCCACACCGCCGCCAGTCTCGTGGCCTGACGCCGGGTCCAACGGCGACGAATGCGAGCCGGCACCCGGCCGGAACATTCGCTGGTCGACAGCAAAGACAAAGACGCCACGGACGCCGACGCCGGACCCGTCTGACGCTGTCAGCCGCATGCCGGTTGAGACTACAAACGATTGGGAGTCGGCCGCCACATGGATGGTCTGTACCCGCCCGCCTTCGTGCGCCTCAAACGAGGCCTTGGCCACCGGGAAGCATGACCACTCCATGCCACGCCGCCACACAATGATCTCGCCACCGAGATCGTACCGCACGCCACCGGTCACCATAAAGTGCGGCATGTCCATCGAGGCAGGTGTCGACTTTGAGACCGCCAGTGCTGTCACCTTGGACCTCACTTGCGAAAACGAGTGATGGTAGAGGTGCTGCGACCGCGTCACAGACCGCGACGCCAGCGAGAGAATGTGCATAGCGCCGGCCTGGTCAAAGGCGAGAACAGATGTCTCGTCCCATGCCAGCGCCGCCCGCTTCACCACGCATCCCGGCGGCATCGAGACGACCGACATCGGCGGGGCCGTCTCGCGCCCGGCCATCGACCGCCGCAGCAATCGCGACGACCGCCGCCCGAGGTCCGAGCCCGACGACTTGGCCCACGCCTGCGGAAATGAGGTTGACGCCAGCCCCGCAACCTGCCCGTCAACGTGGTCCATAACTTGGGCGTGGATCGAGGCTGTTGACGACCACAGCGCCACAGGCGCAGGAAGTTCGAGCACCGTCGTCCCGCGCGCCCGGTCGAGGAGCACCAGGTGCGGCAGCTCGGTCGCGCGCAGGTACGACGTCGCCTCCCGCGAGAGCACCTGCCCAAGCTTGCGCATTGCCTGCTGGTCGACTGACGAGCCATGCGGGACTCGACGCGCCCCACTTGGCTCCACGCCTGGTGATGACGGGTCATATGCCACAGCGAGATGCGCAAAGACCTGCAGCGTGAGGCAGGGAAACTCCTCCAGCGCCGCCTGGTGGAGGAGGACCAGAAACTGGGTCTGCTCCAGCTGGAGGATCCACTCCTCCAGCGCACGCGTCCGCTCGCGCGACTGCGCCCGCGAGTACAGCGAGGTAAGAACCTGAAGTGCAGTGACAAAGTCTTGCAGGAGGAGGAGAAGCTGGCCCGAGCCGATCTTGAGAAACAGGTACCTCACGTCCGAGAGGAGCTCGGTAATCCGCGGCCAGTCCATAGCCATTGTGTAGTGGTAGACAACTTCCGAGAGCGCACGCTGGATGGAGAGAGGGAGGCCGAGTGTCCGAACCGACGACGGATCCGCCATGTCCGGCACCGGGCGCCGGCCTAGCGCCGAGCCGACGTCGGACGGGTGGACGCCAATAAGAGCCATCGACGGCGGCGCACCCGTGGCTCGACACGTCGCGTACCACTCAAAGACCACGGCCAGCGAGGCTTCGGCCTCGAGGAACTCGCCCAGCCGTGAGTGGTACTTGCCGTCCTTCCGTCGCCACCCCACCAACCAGCCCGGCTGGAGGTGCGGGCAGTACGAGCCTGCGAGGAAGAGCTCGCAGCTCGACTCGCACACGCAAAGGTATCGCCGTCGTGCCGCAACGCGCAGCTCCGAGTACAGAAAAGTGAGCGGCGAGACCTTGGCGTCGGTCTCAAGCTCGGTGAGAAAGAGCCGCAGCGCAGAGTGGACCCGTGACCACGCCGACCGTGGCAGCAGCTGCTGGCCGGTCTGGGTCGAGTCAAAGAGCGCACGTCCGTGGAAAGGGACCGACGACGACCACGCCGGCGCAAGCAGGTGCAACAGCTGGTCCTCGGTCAGGCCGAGCCGAGCGATGGCCACGTACGTCACAAACAGGGCAACAAGATGCGGGCCAACGTCGACCTCGATCCGCTGCAGGACAGAGTCAAAGACCCGTGGGATGGTCGGCGGAATGGTGGAGATAAAGTTGGAGAGGTCCTCGTACACGCCAAAGACCCGCATTTCGTGGATGGCGAGCTGGATGTAGAGAGGCTTATGGATGTCCGACTTGGTGAGGAGCATGGCCATCTGGTCGTTGGTCTCCTGCTCGTCGAGCCGCTTGCAGTACTCTTGCAGGAACGACCGCACAAAGTTGACCGTGTACTTGCGACGGAGAGGCGTGAGCGGCAGCGCAAGTACCTCGAGCTGGTCAAGCTCGGCAAGCAGCTGTGTGGAGAAGGTCGAGACAGAGACAATGAGCCGAGCGTTGCTCGGAAGCTCGGGCGGAATCCACGAGACCAGTCGCGACGCCGAGAAGTCGTGCTCCACCTGCGAGAGGTTCGAGAGGCCGTCGACGACAACGACGACAAGCCTGGCCGTCTTGGCGGCCCGCTCCAGCAGCTGGGCAAACAGTCGCCGCAGCCGCTCGTGCGGGCAGAGCGAGAGTGCGCTCGCTGCCAGCAGCCGCGATGCAAACAGGGCCTCGCTCGACTTGGCCGGCGCCTCGGCCGCGAGATACTCGGCAAGCCGAGTGCAGAGGTACTCTAGCATGAAGCGGAGGGAGTGTGAGACTGCAGTCGCACCCACAAAGTAGCGGATGATGAGCGAACCATGGAACTTGACCGGCCACGCCAGAACGCCCGTCGCCAGTAGGGCGGACTTGCCCACACCTGGCTGGCCGACAACTACCAGCGGCACCATCCGCTTCGGCCACGACAGAATGCCAGGCCGCCGGCTCTGCCCACCATTGCCGCGCTGCGAGCGCGACGCAAACGACGCCATCGCTGCCGAAATGGTCTCGTCCGACCACGGCTGCGGCGAAAGCTCGGCCGAGCAGCCCGCCGACGCCAGCTCGGCCTCGGAGCTCTGCCGCGACGGTGTCTGCATGTGGATCATCGACGAAAAGGTTTTCTTGGAAATCCGCGAGAGCACCGCCAGCTGCGGCGGCGGCGCGGTGTTGAGTGTCGGCTCGGAGGTCGCCATCGACGACACCACCGTCGCCGTCGCCGCCCCCGACGCTTTGGCGTACGCCGTCGTCGCCAGCGCATGGTTGCCGTCGAGGTACTTTTCCAGGAGCGACAGCTCGTTCCGCCGGCCAAACAGCCGTTCGGCCATGTCGCGTTCGGCACGCTCCTGCAGCGTCTCGAGCATGTGGAAGCGCGGGAGCGCTTCTACTCGCGGCATGTGGACTCGCGGAAACTCAGCCTGCACAATGCCCCACAGCCACTGATACGCCGCCGCCTCAAACACATCGAGGCCCTTGAGCAGGATTTGGGCAGAGTTGGGCGCCACCAACGACCGATCGTACTCGGCTGGGTATGATCGGACCACGTGGCACCGGTTCGACTCAAAAATGGTCTCCTTCAGCAGCCGCAGCTTGCGCGTCGACTCGTGGTCGCTCTCCACAAACACCGCCTGGTCGTCGGCAGACACCTTGTCCAGAAACGACGGGTCGCGGAAGAACGCCGCGGCGTGGCACGGCTCGTTGGGCTTGGCGAGAAAGCCGTACAGCACCTCCATCTCGGTGATCGACTTGCCCGGCGCGTACTTGGAGACAAACTCGAGGTACGGCTTGGAGAGCACCTTGTACATCGGCGGAATCCATCCGTAGCGCTCGCCGAGCAGGACCATAAACATACCGCGCGACCGATCGATGTCCTCAAAGCACAGCTGAAGCGCACCCTTGCCCTCGGTCGACGTGTCCTCCTCAGTGAGGCCCCAGCGGAGATCGATGGGAATGAGGCGGACTCGCCGCGAGCGGGCAGCCTCATTGACCTTGGGAAACACAATGCGAGTGAGCACATCGCGCTCGCCGTGAAAGTCACGAAAAGTTGACGAGACAAAGACGTGGACCACCCGCCATCCGCCCTCGGACGCAAGCTGCGACGCCAGATCGAGCTTGGGATTGAACTGCGGCCGCTTGATGGCGAGCTCGCGCTTGTGGGCCGGGTGATTGAGAGCTTCGCGCAGCACAGTGCCTTGCAGATCACCGACAGGCAAGCCCACTTCTGCCGCCGCTTCCCAGTCGCCAGCACTCCGCCGTCCTGGAGACACTACCCGCCGTGGTGTCTGCCGTCCTCGGCCTCCGACGCCAAAGCCATGTCGGCCCCACCCGCCACCGCCAGCCCCACTCACACCCACAGCCTCCATTCTTGGCGACGCCAGCCCTCCCTCACCATGTTCGCCCTGTACCCTTCCTACGGTACTGCACCCAGAGCCCATGTTCTCCTTCTATGGGCAGTGAGGTGCCGTGTGCCGTGGCCCGGTGGCCCTTTCCCCTCTCGACTTGTCCACTCCTGCCTCTGGGCTTGGGGAGGCGGGCACTGGCTCCGGGCCAACACTGCGGTCTGAGTGCAGCCACTGATGGACGTTTGGACGGGTTGATGGGAATATAGATGTGCTCGCAAGCGTTGCGAATGGGTATGCTGCGGTATGGTGAAGATCTTGCTCGTGATCGCATGCTGATGGTCATGGCGATGGGTATGGTGATGGTCATCGTCGGCGTCATCCTGCGTTCGGACAAGGTTGCCGCCAACGTACGTCAGGCGTGGCGCTGTGGGCGCCGACGGGGGGGGGGGGCGACAGGGAAGGGAGAGCGAGAGGCGAGAGACACGACTTGTCTAGCATTGAGACGCAGCAAGGGCCTAGCCATGCCTGTCAGGGTGAGGGGAGGGCATGGAGGTCACAGGAGGAGCCGCTTGTCGGAGGCGGGAGGTCGGGCGCGCTCCCGTCGCAGCCGTGGCGCGAGCGGCGGCGCGCCACGCGAGTCGACACGCTCGCAGGACGGGGACGAGGAGCGAGCGCTACCTCTGGGCGCACGGGTTCTGGTGGATCTAGACGGTTATGTGCTCCACGGCAGACTCGTGTTCCGTGGCAAGGTCCGCAAGCTGGCAGGTCGCTGGGCTGGCGTCGTCCTTGACGAGCCGGCTGGCAACTGCGATGGCTGGTACGCCGGCAAGCGGTACTTTGATGCCCAGCCGAACCACGGGCTGCTGGTGCAAATGGATGCTCTGAGGCTTGTAGACCCCATATCGGCTCATTCAAGTCCGCCACCAGCAAGCCTACTGATCGCTAGCCCGCCAGCATCTACCGTTGTTGCGGCGGGTCGGCCAGCACCTGTTCGCGTCCATCCAACCCAGCAATTGCAGCCGCATGCACGCCTCTCTCCGCCTCCTTCCGTGCCACTCTCTCCGTCACTGTCTTTGTCGCCATCGCCGTCTCCGTCGGATCCGATCGAGCCCGACGTAGTTGCTATTGTGCTCGAGAAGAACCAGCCCGGAGTCCATCGCTCACCGATCAGCATCTCGCTCTCCGACTCGCTCTCAACCACATCATCTCCTATCCGTTCTGCACCTGAATCGACACTCACGCTCGAGAGGCCACAACTGCCTGCGCCCGGGTCGCGAGTCCGAGTCGCCGATGCACTAGCCGCTACGGTGTCGTATTTGGGGCCGGTGAACGGCAGATCCGGTACCTGGCTGGGCCTCACCCTCGACAAGCCGCTTGGCAAGAATGATGGCTCGGTGGACGGCGTCCGCTACTTTGAGTGTCAGCCCAAGCACGGGCTCTTTGTCAACCCAGCAAGCGTGAGCATCGAACCGCTGGACTCTGAGCAGACTACCGTGCCTTCATCGCTCTCGCCGTACCTGCTCTCTTGGCGCGAGTACGTCGACCCGGCAAGCCGGGCCATGCTTCTGGTCCACGAGAAGGAACTCACCGACTTGCGCCAGGTTCACGCCGCCGAGCTTGTCGAGCTGCGAAACAAGTCCGCTGCTGCTGCTGCGAAAACTTTTGACGCTGCCGCTGTCGATAGTGCTGCGCACGAGATCCGCGTCGCCGCTGCTGCGGCGTCTGCCTCGCTTCCCACTCCCAACACCACCGATGTGCAGTGGCGGCGTGCACTCGCGCAACATGCTGCCGAGGAACAGGCGGCATCAGCACTGGACACCCTGCGCGCACAGCACGCGGCCGAGCTTGACACTCTCCGGGCCCGCCACCGACGCGAGCGCAGCGTCGTTTTTAACGCTGGAGGACAGACCTCGGCCTCGACACTCTCGCCACACGTCCGCGCAGTCATCGATGCTTTCCACGCTGCTGATGCAACACATCTTGAGGTGGTGGCCAGAGAGACAGCTCTCGTGACCTCGCTCCATGCCCAGTCTGGCGTCCTTGATCTACTTGCTGCCCAGTGCGTCGACGTCGCTGAGGCCAAACAGGCTCACAATTCCGGGATCATCGACTCAGCTCGCCTCGAGGCCAAGGTCTGTGAGCTTGCAGCCCGCACCGATGCCGGCCGCGCCGCTCTCCTCGATTCGGCCGAAGCCGAGCAAGCCCGCCGTGAGGCCGAGGTCCGCGCACTTTTCAGCTCTTCACACGAAGCCCACTGGAGTATGGCCGCCATCCACACCAAGCGCATCCAGCTTGGGCTCGCCAATGCAGAGCTCGTGGCTGACCATCGGGCTGCTGCAGCCCAAGTGCAAACAGCTGTCGGGAGCACGCGCAGCATGGGCCATGCTGCCGAGCCGCTGTTGGAGCTTCACCAGGCGTCACTGGCCCTCGAGGTGGAGCTCTTCACCTCGTTTGAGACAACGTCGCTTACTGAGGTCCTTGCTTCCATCCGGTGGCGATTGACAGCACTTGCAGATCTAGAGTGCGACGCACTTGCCGCCCAGGCCAAACTTCGCAGAGTTGCCGAAGCCGCGCTGGAGGAGATCAGCGCGAGCCTAGGCACCCAGGCTCGGTCTGGATGGACGTCGCGCCTCGAAAAGCTTCATGAGACCTTTGTTGCGCCGCTGATGGCGCCAGGCTCACAGCAACTGCAAGACAAGTCCACCGCAATACGGTCATGCATGGAGGAGCTTGCTGAGGCCCTTGTCACCACCTACCGCCGTGCACTCTGTCTCCGGCACAGTGCCGCAGAGTCACTGCTTCACGCTGCAAGCTGCGGAGACCACTCTCCAGACTCGCGCCTCGCGACCCTTGCCTCCATTCGAGATGCCGTCGCCGCTATTGAAGGCGCGGCCGCCGATGCACTTCAGGCATCAGCCCGCGAGCGCCTTGCTATCTTGGACAACGTTGCCACCGAGGCTGACGATATCGCCGCCACCCATGAGGCCGATGTCACCCGCATCTACGAGGACCTTGTGTTCTCAAGCGACAATGTTGACGCGGGCGCTGTTCAGGTTGCTGTCGCTGTTGCATCACTCGACCGCATTCTCGCCGAGACCTCGCTCGAGCTGTCAGCGCTTGACACCGAGCTGCGTACGCTGGCGTCAATCTGGGACCGTGTCCGCACTGTTGCCAAGCCTGCGCTGGCACGTCTGCTTCCGGCTCACTTTTTAACAGCGTGCGAGAGTGCCGAGGCTGCCGCTGCCGTCTCAGTCTCTACGGGCCAGAGACGACTGCAGGAGCTTGCCGATGTGCACGCAACGAGCCGAGCCGAGCTGGCACGGAGCCTCGAGCGTGCTCGTGTTGACCTTGTCATTGCCGTCAATACCCTTGGAACACTTGCGGATCCGCTGTCAAGCGCCGCCTCACCGGCCAGGATGCTCCTTGACATGGTCACACGCCTTGAGGCTGCTCGTCTCGGACTGGCAACCCATGCCGCCCGCGCCGAGCTTCTCACCCTTCACGCTCGCGAGGTTGTCCCGCCACCGTCGACGCCGCCTGCATCTGGAGCCAAGTCGCGAGCTCGGCGGCCGCCCCGTCCCATGCTCCTTCTCCATCTTCCGCGACACACCCGGCACCACTGTGTCTCCCACTCCCTGACGCTCCTCCTTCTTTGACGCCTACTGCCCCGCCCGACTCTGATCAGGCGCGACTTGAGCTGACTCGACTGCGCCGGATTGCGGCGACTCACGCAGCAGTTTTGCTCGCATCTGCCGCCTGCAAGCGAGCTGTCGCACGTGAACGGGCGACCGCCGCCGGTGATGCTGCCGCCGCTGCGGCTGCCGACGCTGCCTACCAGTGCAAGGTTGAGGCCATCAAGGCCGAGCAAGATTCTAGGGGAGCCCAAGCAGCTCGCCAAGTTGCCGAAGCACACGCCCAGGTTGCGGCGCGCGAGAGCGAGGCGCGTGCGCTTCGCGAGGCCCAGGACCAGTGGCGGATGCAAGTGCTCGAGGCGACAGTGGCCCAGAAGCGGATTGTCATCGATCGCCGACTGGCGGCTCAGCTTGCAGCAGCCGAAGCAGCCACTGCAGCCGCTATCGCTCTCGAGAAGACCAAGCTCAAAGCCGTGCGCGCCGCTCCGGAATCTCAGCTGGATGGTGCTGCCTCGGCGGCAGTTGCATACCACGCGAATGTGGCCCAGCTGCGCGCAGACCTGGCGGCCACCCGCAGTCAGCTCGAGCTTCAGGCCGAGAACGAGGAGCACCTGGAGGAAAGTCTCGCTAGGCAGGACATCGAGCGTCAGTGCGCGCTCAGCGAGCTGGCTGCCCGTCACAAGGCAGAGTATGCCGCTGCTGCTGCTGACATTGACCTCAAGCTCGCGGTTGTAGACGCCGAGCTCGAGACGACCCTTGCGGAGCTGGAGGCGGACAAGGCCGCCAAGCTTCACTCGCTTGCGGGCTCGCCACATCTCGCCGAGCAGCGCGTGGCATTTGAGGCTGCGCACACCGAGCGGGTGGCCGCTGCTCGCGAGGCTGCTTACAGTCTCGCTACCACTCTCCGACTGGAATTGACCGAAGCCGTACAGAAGCGTCACGAGAGCGAGATCCTGGCCCTCGCCGCGCTCGACGAGCGGCATGCTGCCGCAACGTCACAGGCTCAGATCTCCATCTCGACCGAAGCTGCCAAGATTATAGCTGTCGCAAAGGCTCGAGCCTCTGCACTGGAGTCGGCTGCTGAAGCCGACCGTGCGGAGGCCGCTGACACTCTCCGGGACGCGCTAGCCGCGGCTGCATCGGACGACGCCCGCGCCCGCTCGCTGGAAGTCTACCAAAGGCAGGTCGAAGCCATTAATTCAACCCTCGCCAAAAACGAGGCTGCTATCCACGATGAAGCCCACGAGGCGTCGAATGCGCTGCGCGCCAGCCTCGAGCAGCAAGTTGCCCACGCGCTGCATGCCGAGCGCATTGAGGCTGCTCAGCTGCAGGCAGAGCACAAAGAGCACACGCGTGAGGCCCGCGCTGCCGCTCTCAAAGCTCAGCTGGACGCTGAGGCCAAGGCTGAGCAAACCGCGCTACTCGCTGCTCGCAAGGCTAAGAGCCTTGGCGATGCCGGTCAATCTGCAGAAGAGGTGGCAGGAGAAGCAGCGGCGCTTGTCGATGACGTTGCGGCTGCTGTCGTTGCGGCTGTTTCGACCGCGTCTCGTCTTGACGCTGACGCTGTCACGGCGGTGCTTGACTATGATTTACAGCTGAGCACAGCGCTCAGCGGTGCATCGGCAGCCACACATACGGTGGTGGCGCAGACCGAGGCCGCGGCTGTCGTGGAGATGGAACTTGCCGAAGAGCTGAAGCGAGCTCGGATTCAGTTGGCAAACAAGCCAGATGAATTACAGGCAGCCAAAGACGAGGCTCATGCTCGAGCCTCGGCTCGTCGTGAGGAGCTGAAGTCTGCCGTTGCTGATGCCCGCGTCTCCGCCGAGGTCGAGCATGCGCAAGCGCTTGCAACTGCTTTGGACAGCTCAAGCATGGCTGTTGCCTCCATCGACGACTTTGCAGCGTCTGAGCTGACTCGACTCGAGCGTGAACGCGACAGCTCACTGTCAAGCGAAGCTACTGCACATCAGCAGGCGCTAGCAGTGCTAGCGACGGCGCGCAAGGCTGAGCTGGCAAAGGCTGCTAGCGAGGCTGAGCATGCCCGCATTTCCGCCACGTTTGCGGCGCAACATGCCTCCCTTGAAGCTGCCAGCGCAAGTGTGAGGCGGAGCATCGTTAGAAGCCACACGCGCGCAACAGCTGAAGTTAAGGCGTGTGCTGCACGCAATCGCGAGCAGGCGCGTAGCCTTGCAGCGGTAGAGTCGGCAGTAGCCAAGCACCATGCAGACATTGACCAAGCCGCGATGGCCAAGGCTACTGCCACCGTCGCCAACCCGGAGCTCTCCCAGATCATGATCGACACCGATACTGCTGCTGAGAGTTCCCAGGCCCGGAGCCTGGCGCTGCGGCGGCAGCCGAGCTCGAACCTCGAGAAAATGGTGACGACATCTAGTTCTGACCTGCTTGCTCGCCGCATTGCCGAGTTGGAAGCGGAGCTGGCTGCTGCCAAGGCCAACGAGGCAGTGGAGCGTCAGGCGTCTGAGGCTCGGCTGGCAACCGCCGCATCCAGCGCTCCCCCCGCCATCAAGGTTGTAGGGCCACAGGATGGGACTGTCGTGGTTGAGACCGGAACAGAGGTGGCGCTCGAGGGAACGCTAATTGTGCCGGACGGGGCGCGACTGGTGCCCAAGGGCTCGATTATTGTCCCGCGCGGAACGCTTGTGGTTGAGATGGACGACCCGCTGGAGATGGCGTCGTTGGCTGACTCGGACTCGGAGGACGAAGCCAGCGAGTCGCTCAAGCTTGTGCGCGGCGACACGGTGGTCGCGGCGCCGGGATCAATGGTTGTCCCGATTGTAGGCTCGCCAATAGCGAGTGGCTCACCAGGCCAGGCGTTTGTGCCAATGGCGGTGGCACCAGCGTCACTAGTTGAAGCGTTGGAGGCTGTGGCCGACGCGCTACAGGATGCCGCTATTGATGCCCGCAAAGTGAGCGGTGACGTGGACTCGGACGATGAGATCCCTGATGGGATGGAGACTTTGCAGTGGCAGGTGCACCTGGCAACCCTCAAGACGCTTGCACTCCAGCGCGACATTGTGCTCGACCTGGTCTCCGATCTCAAGAGTATGGCACCGCGCGGGTCGATCTCGCCACGGGGGCGGCTTGTGGTGGCAGCCAGCGATGGCTCGAGTGTGGACAGCCAGCCGGAGCGGTCGATGAAGCGGTCGCTGTCGCGGGCTGCGCTCGAGGCTCGCATCCACGTCCTCCGGAACACCGGGCTCGAACCCGAAGACGATGTGCCGCCGTCGGCGTCTGGCGACGACGACGAGGTCTTTGACTCCGGCGGTGAGTCCGAGTCTGACGACGGCCGTGGCATCGAGGTCGACGCCGAGCTTGGCGCTGTGGTGACCGGCTCAACCAAGGCGCCAAAGCACTTTTGCAACATGCTCAAGCATGACGTGTCGGCAGCGCATTTGCGGACACTCAAGTACGCGCTGCTTAACAATGGGTCGAGCTGGACCCGTGAGTTTCTGCAGCGCGACGGGCTTGACGACGTCCTGCAAGTGCTGCGTGAGTTTGTGCGCAAGCGCAACAAGCAGCCAAACGACGTCGAGGTGGCCGCCCGAGCGACCAAGGTGATCAAGGTGCTGACGCAAACAAGTGCTGGCACGAAGGCCATGACGCGCATCAACGACGGCACAAGTACCATTGTGCGGACGCTGCATGCCGACGCAGACGAGACGCTGCGGTCACGGGCGCTGCTTGTGCTCGCGCGGATGGCTCATGCGTCGCACGAAGCGCACCAGGCCGTACAAGCGGCGCTGGATGCGCAGCGGACGCTGGACCGCGCAAACCACCCGTTCACTGCCGCTCTCGAGGCCATGCAGTGTACCGAGTCGGAGACGCTGCGCGTGGCCGGCTTGGCGCTTCTCAACGGCGTCATCAACACTGAAAAGGATCTCACGGTGCGGGTGGCGTGGCGGGAGAGTCTCGAGGCTGCCAGCATTGACGCGGCCATCGGATACATGAACTCGATGGACAGTGATGTGCCGGCGGCACGCGAGCAGATCGAGCTTTACATCGATGCGGCGCACTACGACGCTACCCAGATTCAGTTCCGAAGCATCGAGCTCTCAGACCCGCGGGCGGTGTGCGACATGCTTGTGACAAATCTGCGGGTGACGCCAGCGTACCCGCAGCTTGTCAAAGTACTGCAGATGCTGCTGGCACTTCCGACGCGGGGACCGCTAGGGCTTGAGGCGTGGAAGCAGCTGGTGCAGCTCCTCTCGGACGCGGTTGAGCCCTCGGTTGCGCACGTGGGTCTCTCGCAAGAGGAAGAGGAGGCTGCCGGAATGCTCACAACCGGGATTTCGCTCCCGTCAGTGGATGATTTACACCACACAACAGCGCGCGCCGCGGCCGAGGGCTACCTGCAGCAGCTGAACGCGTCTGCGGCGGACCCGCTTGGCCGCGCCACAGGCAAGCCGACATCCAACTTGGCGGTACTCAAGACCAAGACATCGCTGGAGACTCGGGCGTACGTGGACGGTCTTCACGACGATCTTGACAAAGCCAACCGCACAGTTTGCGAGCTGACGGCCAAGCTAGATGAGCTGGCGACGTCGGAGGCCGGTATGATTCAAGCGCGGGCCGAAGAAGCGATGGCTGCCAAGAACGCTGACGCACGGGCTGCCCTGGCGTGTGCGCGCAGCATGGATGAGCATCAACTGAGGATGGCCGACCATCGGCAAAGCATGACGCTGCAGCGGTATGAGCTCCGTATCAACGAGCTGCAAGCGCAGTTGGCACTGGCGCTCAAGAAAGCCCGGCTGGGAGCCATCACCGAAGAGACTCGGATCAAGGAAGCGCGGCTGCGGTTCCGCATCGGGGTCCGGCGTATTTTGATGAAGCGGAGGATGGGGAGTGTGTTTACACTGCCTAGTGGCGGAGCAGCGGCGAGCAGCGGCTCGAGTCCGGGCACCGGTGCGACAGGGCCGAGCGGCGGTCCACCACCACCGCCGCCACCGATGCCCGGAGGTGGGCCACCGCCGCCGCCGCCTCCACCGCCGCCGCCCGGAGGCGGTCCACCACCACCGCCACCTCCTCCCGGAGGCGGTCCACCACCACCACCTCCTCCTCCCGGAGGCGGACCGCCGCTGCCGCCGCCTCCGCCGCCTGGGGGCTGGGGACCAGGCGGGCCGCCGCCGCCGCCACCGCCAGCTGCAGCAAATCCTCGCGCGCCGCGCAAGGCCAAGGTGCCGATGCGCAAACTGTACTGGTCCAAGGTCAAGCCGGTAGAGCTGAACGGATCTGTGTTTGAGAGTCTCAATCCGAGCTCCGTGATGCTCAACTGGGACGAGATGGAAAAGCTGTTTACGTCGAAGAGGCCCGTCAAGAAGCTGAGCCCAGCAGAGGCCGAAGCTGAGGCTGCGCGCGCCAAGCGGCCCAAGAAGGTGCTGCTGCTGGATGGCAAGGCGTCGAACGCGATCGGGATTATGCTCTCGCGGTTCCGTATGAGCAACGAGGCGCTGCGCGACGCGATGCTCTCACTTGACGAAAAGGTGCTTACGGCCGAGTCTATCACGTTTGTGGTCAAGACGCTGCCGACGACAGATGACCTGGCGACAGTGGCGTCGTACGACGGCGATCTTGGCTTGCTCGGCAAGTCTGAGCAGTACGTGCGCACGATCATGGGCATTCCGCGGTTGGCGCAGCGGCTGCGGTCGCTGCAAATCAAGCTGGAGTTTGAGGTCCTTGTCCACGACGTCGATGAGGGCGTGGTGGCGCTCTCAGGTGCGCTGACGGCAATCCACGAGTCCAAGGCGCTCGGTAAGCTGTTTGAGATCTTGCTGGCAATCGGCAACTTTATGAACTCGAAGAAGGAGCGCGGCTTCCACCTGGACTTTCTGGCCAAGGTTGGTGGGACGAAGACCATCGACGGCAAGTCGAACCTGCTCCGGTTCGTGGCTGAGCTGCTGGAGCGCGAGTTTTCCGAGGTGCTGGCATTCAAGGACGACCTCAAGCTTGCAGCCGAAGCGGCGCGACACCCGTTTGACATGATCGAGGCTGCAGCCGGCAACCTCGACAAGAATCTCAAGATTGTGGGCATGGAGCTGAGTCAGACGAAAGACGCAGTGTTCAAGGACGTGTTTGACCCGTTCCACGAGGCAGCACTCGAGCGGATGCAGGCGGTCCATGGCGCGATTGACGAGGTCAAGACCAAGCACCTTGCAGTGTGCAAGGTCTTTGCAGAAAAGCCGACCAAGACGAGTGCCGACCATCTGTGCGGGATCTTTGCCGACTTTCTGGAAGAGTTTGAGGCGGCCGAGGCCAAGAACCGAAGGGCCAAGGAGCTTGAGGCGAAGCGCGAGCGGAAGCGCAAGGCGCGCGAAGCGGCCAAGAAGAAGCGGGCGGCCCGCGCAGCCAAGAGCTAGTCTAAAAGATGTGCATTCACTGGTTGTGGAAGAAGGAGGAGACGGAGAGCCGGAGCGAGGCATCTTGGGTAGCGGGCTCATCGTGCTCGACAAGCAAGACCGAATCGTCCTCGCAAACATGGACGAGAGCGGCGAGTTCGGTGTGTGCAGTCGGAGAGAGGGCCTCCACACGACGAAAGACGTCGCGCACATACTCAGCGGGCTGAGAGCTGAGGAGAGCGGCCATGACGTGTGCGATGGTGGCATGAGTGAGCCGCGGGGCACGGGCCTCGCGGACCCGGGCGAGGATGAGGGTGTGCTGCGGCGGGAGGGTGCGGAAGACGAGCTTGACGATGGTGACAGTGATGGAGCGGATCTCAGTGAGGACGGCCGCACGCTGGGCATCGGCGTCTTCCGAAAGGCTTCGCGCCGAGTCCTGCAAGTAGCGAAGCAGATGCTCAAAAGAGGGCAGGGCGGCAGCGGCATCGTCAAGGGCGTCTGCGGTGTAGGCAACTTGGTAGGCCGAGTCGATAGTGAGCGGCGAAGCGGGGCCGTGAAGGCGGTTGCGGAGGTCAAAGGCTTGCTTGGCAAGATCCAGCGCCCGCGCGTACACGCCCTTTGCATACAAGGCTTCGGAGAGGTAGTACATGGAGTGGGCAGTGGTGGGCGATTCGGGTCCGAGGCAGCGCTGGTGGACGAGGAGGGCGCGCTCGTAGGCGTTGATGGCCTGCTGGTGGAGGCCAGCGGTTTTGGAGAGGTGGCCAACCGAGTGATAGTACGACGCGGCCTTGGCGTGGTTGGCACCGAGGGCAAGGACCGAGAGGTCAAGCGCGGCCTTGTAGTAGTCTAGGGCAAGAAGCGGGTCTCCGACCTCGGCGTGGAGGCCACCCATGGTGTCGTGGGCCTCGAGGAGGAGCGGGTGGTAGTGACCCCAGTGGTGGGCGATACACGCGATGGCGGCTTCGTAAGCGACAGCGGCGCCTTGAACGTCTCCAGAGCGAAAGGCGGCGCGGAGGTGGGCGACGTAGGCAAGACCAGCCGAGGCGTGCCACTGCGGAGCGACGCCCAGGGCGGCGCCAGCAAAGGCAGCAGCAGCCTCGAGATCGCCAGCGTCTGCGGCGTAGCGGGAGGCGACGAGAAAGTCAGGGCCAAGCTTGTGGGAGGAGAAGCCGTGCAGGAGGGCCGCAGCCTTGAGCGAGACGGCCAGGGCGTCGAGGGCGGCCCTGTGGCGGCCTTCAGCGGCGAGGAGACGGGCGTAGTCGCGGTGCGAGGTGGCGAGGGTGGCCGGGACGGGAGTGGTGACTCGCGGGCGCCAGCCGCGGACGACGTCCAGGTTGGTGCCGAGCGGGGCTGGGCCGGAGAAGTCTACGCTGGGCGTGTGGGCCAGGACGACACCCGAGTGGTGCTCGAGGGCGTAGAGGAGCGCGGCGCGCGGGATGGCCGAGGCATCGACATCGTGGGCAAAAGCGGCGGCGACGTCGGGCAGGAGGACCGAGCCCCAGAAGGCGTGCGACTCGTCGGAGGAGCCGAGGACGAGATTGAAGAAGTCAAGGGTGTTGGCGGTGTTCTCAGACACCATCGAGGCGCTAATGCGGGTACCGGACTCGAGGAGTGGGCGGCGGGCGCGGACGACACGCCGGAGCGAACGGGCGAGTAGCTCTGCAGCGCGGATGGCAACCATTTCGGTGGCGAGAACGGCACGAACATGCGGCAGTTCGACCGAGTCTGCCAGGAGGCCAAGGAAGCGACGGTCGACGCCGGCGTCGGCGAGGATGGCGGCTAACGAGACCGAGTCGAGGGCGAGCACGTCCATGCGGTCGAGCGCGAGAGCGAGGCGCGGGACGAGAGTCTCGCGGAGGTAGGCCGAGGCGCCGATGAGGGCGCCAACGTCTGCAGCGGCGGGCGCACCGGTTCCCAGCGGGGTGGCGTGCTGGGTAAAGGCGTCTGGGACGAGAGGATCTGGGTAGAGGGTGACGAAGCGAGGCGAGAGGACACGGGTCAAATCAGCGGCCATCTCGCCGATGGGCAGGTCAGGCGGGAATAGCTTTTGCAGCGAGACGGCGTAGTAGCGACCGTCGGAGCCGCGGTGACCTAGAACGGAGGCCGGGCCAAAGACCGGGGCGACACCCGAGTCTCCGGGTGCAACCGGCTTCAGATTGAGCTGGCGGGCAAGATCAGCCATGAGGCCAGCAAAGGCTGCCGCGGGCGAGGAGCCCTGCGGCGGGCGAGTGGCCAGCTCGGGTGAGGCGATGAGGGTAGCCTCGGAGACTGGAAGGGTAGTGACGGCGATGAGGGTAAAGCCGCGGTACTCGACGAGGGCCATGAGAGGAGTAGCAAGGCCGGGGATGCGGGCGTTGACAACGGCGTCGAGGGCGGCCATCTCGATGTGGGCCATGCGCATCTCGAGCGCATCGTCGGTCTCGGGCCGTGCGCCTGTTCCGACGTCGGCAAACGAAAAAATAATAGAGTCGACGACGTAGACCTCGTCGGTCTGCGCAACTGCGTCAGGCAGGGCCTTCGGAGTGTAGGTCTTGGACGTTAGCGGGAGATGCAACTCATCGATGATGATGGAAGCGACTTGCTCGGCGCGAGCGGCAAAGAGGCCGACAAAGCGGACAAGCTCCAACTCGGCCTCGGGCGCGTGACTAGCTTCGGAGCGCGATGCTTCCACCCAACGGGCCATTCGGGTCTGGTACTCGGCGTTCCAGTCAAACTCGGGCGAGCCAGCGACGAGCTCGGAGAGCGCAGCGAGCGCGGCCGTCCGCGGATGGGGAAGCTGCGCTGGCGCGGCGTATGGTGACAGCGACGACGGGGCCAGCTCACGCAGCGCGTCGACCGGCAGCGGGTCGGTGCCTGGGGCAATCGGGCGAGCCTTCTGCTGCGGCTGCTGTTTGGGCGGCGACGCAGGCTTCGGCAGTGACGCGGGAGCAGGAGCCACACCCGTGCGCTGCGTAGACTTGGGCGGTGACGCAGGCTTTGGCGGCGATGCAGGAGCGGGAGCCACCGCTGCGGGTGGCACGGGCTTGGGCGGCGCAGGCTTGGGCGGCGCGGGCTTGGGTGGCGGGCCGACGCCTGCGGCTGGATCTATGGCGGATGGAGCAGGATCAGACGTGGGAGCGGGGGTGGCGGTGACGGTGACAGAGGGAGGGGTAGAAGCGGGGGCGGGAGTGGTGCTCGGCGTGCGAGCGGGTGTGGTCGCGGGGTGGGCGGTGGCAGCAGAGGCATGAGCGGGAGCGCCGCGGGCGAGGAGGACAATCTTGTTGTTGGTGGCGTTGATGACGCGGGAGAGGGCGTCGATCCAGACCGTGCGGTGGCGGAGCGACTCGAAGGAGATCGTGTGTGACTTCTTGCCGATACGCAGGCGAATGGCGAGCTCCGAGGTCTTGAAGACGTGCGGCTCTGGCGGAGGTGGGTCGAAACGCGGGGCGTTGTAGTCGTCGAGAGCGAGGTAGGGCGGGAGAGGTGGTGACTTGCCCTTTGCCACGGCAGAAGCATTCTTCTTGGCGTCGGCTACAGCGGCGGTAAGGGCCTTGCCAGCCGGACGGAGCAGCAGGCGCTTGTCGGCCTCGGCTGCCGTCCTCTGGCCCAGCTCGAGGCGGTCTGCGTAGAGCACACCGTACTTGCTCTCGAGTGACTTGAAGAATGAGCCGGACTTTTCATAGATGGGCCCTGCAAGAACAAGTGATGCCGAGCCCTTGTTTGGCCATGGGGACTTGAGGGCCATCCCTGCTGTGGTGAGGTGGGTGGCGGGGGGTGGTGGTGGGGTGTCGGGGTCTAACGGTCGGGAGCAATGGACGAATGAATGTGTGGTTGGGAGGGCGGGGCGGGGAAAGGGGGGGGGGGGGGGGGGGC